GGCCCTTTTCTTAAAAATTTCTTTTCTTTTTTCTTTTTTCTTTTTCTTTTTTTGTTGTCTGTTCGTTGTTGTCTGTTGTCGTTGTCTGTCTTGGGTCTGTCTGTCTGGTCTTTGTCTTTTTGTCTGTCTTTTCCCCCGTCTGTCTGTCTGTTAATCTATCTATAGTTCACCAGAGGGGGAAACAGAAAGGGACGGGATGGGGTCTGTACATCGAAACGACAAACAGGTGAGACCATTCTCCCGTGCATCCACTAACCATAGCCCTAACTCTAGCTTTATGTCCACGTCCCGGTTCAACTCACATGAAAAAATTATATGGTATAGGCCTGTAATTTTCATCATAGGTACACTTCAACTATGACAGACAAATTGAGATTTTTTTTTCCAGAAAATCACATTGTAGGATTTTAATTAATTATTTGCAAATAATGGTGGAAAATAAGTATTGGTCCCCTACAAACAAGCAAGATTTCTGGCCTCTCAAAAGCCCTGTAACTTCTTCTTTAAGAGGCTCCTCTGTCCTCCACTCGTTACCTGTTTTAATGGCACCTGTTTGAACTTTTTATCAGTTTTAAAATAACCTGTCCACAAACTCAAACAGTCCCCACTCCAAACTCCACTATGGCCAAGACCAAAGAGCTGTCAAAGGACACCAAACAAAATTGTAGACCTGCACCAGGCTGGGAAGACTGAATTTTGCAATGGGGTAAGCAGCTTGGTTTGAAGAAATCAACTGTGGGAGCAATTTTTAGGAAATGGAAGACCTATAGACCACTGATAATCTCCCTCATCTGGGGCTCCACGCAAGATCTCACCCGTGGGGTCAAAATGATCACAAAACGGGAGCAAAAATCCCAGAACCCAGGGGGGGAAACCTAGTGAATGACTGCAGAGAGCTGGGACCAAAAGTAACAAGCCTACCATCAGTAACACACTACGCCCCCAGGGACTCAAATCCTGCAGTGCAAGAGTGTCCCCCTGCTTAAGCCAGTACTGTCCAGGCCCGTCTGAAGTTTGCTAGGTGCATTTGGATGATCCAGAAGAGGATTGGGAGAATGTCATATGGTCAGATGAAACCAAAATATAACTTTTTGGTAAAAAACTCAACTCGTCGTTTTTGGAGGACAAAGAATGCTGAGTTGCACCCAAAAGAAACACCATACCTACTGTGAAGCATGGGGGTGGAAACATCATGCTTGGGGCTGTTTTTCTGCAAAGGGTCCAGGACGACTGATCCGTGTAAAGGAAAGAATGAATGAGGCCATGTATCGTGAATTTTGAAGATGAAACGTGGCGGGTCTTTCAGCATGACAATGATCCCAAAAACACACCGCCCGGGCAACGAAGGAGTGGCTTCGTAAGAAGATTCAAGGTCCTGGAGTGGCTAGCCAGTCTCCAGATCTCAACCACATAGAACATCTTTGGAGGGAGTTGAAAGTCCGTGTTGCCCAGCGACAGCCCCAAAACATCACTGCTCTAGAGGAGATCTGCATGGAGGAATGGGCCAAAATACCAGCAACAGTGTGTGAAAACCTTGTGAAGACTTACAGAAAACGTTTGACCTGTGTCATTGCCACAAAAGGGAAATTTAACAAAGTATTGAGAAATTTTGTTATTGACCAAAACTTATTTTCCACCATAATTTTCAATAAATTCATTAAAAATCCTACAATGTGATTTTCTGGAAATTTTTTCCCCATTTTGTCTGTCATAGTTGCCGTGTACCTATGATGAAAATTACAGGCCTCTCTCATCTTTTTAAGTGGGAGAACTTGGGACAATTGGTGGTGACTAAATACTTTTCCCCCAATGTAGTATTCATTGTAGTGTTTTTTTTTGACTTACGTAGTATTTACAGTAACTATTGCATACTGTAGTAAAAAAAAAACGGGTAGTAAAAAATACTAAGTAATGTAGTGTTTTTGTGGACTGTACTATACTGTAGTATTTACTGTAGTGGGAGAGCGCCTGTCACGCCCTGGCTCTGGGGACGCTTGTTATGTTGGACAGGGTGTGAGTGTCTTTGTTTATTCTAGTTCATGTATATCTATGTTTGGCCAGAGTGGTTCTCAATCAGGGCAACGAGTGTCAGCTGTTGCTGGTGTTCTGATTGGGAAACCATATTTAGATCCAGGCTGTTTCCGGACAGTGTTTGTAGGAATCGTGTTCCTGTGTTAGTTTGGTTTTACACCTTTGGAAGTCAGTATCGATTTTTTTTTTTTCGTGTAATCATTTAATAAATAAGTATGTTCAACTTCCACGTGCGCCTGGTCATCTCTTCTCGACGATTGGGGACAGAGATAAAATTCTGGTAAACATGACATATTTTTGAAAGGCATCTAATAATTTGTCCAGGAAAAAAAATGTGAACGCGCATTTTATTTTCACTTTGATCGACATAATGGTTTTAGTTTAATTACAGTTTTGAGATTACATTGAGAATTATCATTTTTTTCATGGTTTTAGGTCATGAGAAGCATTTTGAATGAAAAGCCATTTCAGACCCACTTCACTGAAAAATAATTAGGAATGCCCATTACTACGAAAATTAGCAAGTTTCCACAAACTGTAGGTAGGTAGGGGGGACCAGGGTATGAAAGGATTCGTTCAGCGCTTATACTATTAGTAGATAACAAAATATAGGGAAAAAAAGATATGGGTAGATATTGGCATGTAGGATTAATCTAAGGGGTGGAAAAAATTGAGATCTCTACTGGGCAGGGTATATGGAAATAATTTAAATAGTATTTATCTATGTTATTCTTCAGTTACTACAACATTCTACTATATATATAAGTAATACACATGATGAGGGATACTACAGTGTGTATTTGTATAGTCTAATACGTTACTATAGAATTTTAATAGTATGTACTGTAGTATTATATAGGTAACCTCGTATTTATTCATGTAGGAACACTGACATAGCCTCAACCAAAAACCACTACCAAGCCCTAGCTTCATGTCCACATCCGGTCAAAAACCCGAACCCTGGATATTTTACCCTAACACTAACCCAAAATAGACTATAAATAATAAGTGAGTTTTATACATGGACATAGACTTGACCCAGGGAATCCAGGTTTGAAAATATGATCCTATGTGATATCATTGTTAAATCCACTTCAATCAAGTGTAGATTAAAAGGAGGGGAATCTAAAGAAGGCATTTTTAACGTCTTGAGACAATGGAGAATGGATTGTGGATTGTGTGCCATTTAGAGAATTGGCAAGACACACATTTAAGTCCTTTGAACAAGGTATGGAAGTAGGTGCCAGGCGCCACCGGTTGGTTCCGGGATCATCCAATGGCATTGAGGAGATATACCAACTCAGTTCACCTGTTCAGCAAATAAGGACTTGACGACGACGTCCACAGTTGACCGTTACGTAATATCCCAACAAGAATTATATGACAAGGGTAGTAAAGGAAAAGTAGGCATCCAGAGATAAAGGACTAGAGCGCCGATTTCAAGGAGCGGGGACACTAATCGGACACTTATAACAAATCCCGCTATGCCCCAGACGAACCATAAAACAGGCAAAGCGTCAGACAGGAGAAGATTGAATCCCACAAACCGGCTCTGTTGCTCGTCAGAGTGTCAGGGTTTGCGAACTAATACGGACTACAAAGGGAACACCCCCCCCAGCCGCAAGCTGCCCAGTGACGCGAGCCTACCAGACGGGCTTAAATTGCCTTTGATGCTCGCTTCGAGGCAAGCAAAACTGAAGCATGATGAGAGTAACAGCTGTTCCAGACAACTGTGGGAGCCACGGCTCTCCGTAGCCGATGTGAGCAAGACCTTTAAAAGGTCAACATTCACAAGGTCCAGAGGATTACCAGGATGTGTACTCAGAGCATGCGCAGACCAACGGGCAAGTGTTCACTGACATTTTCAACCTTCTCCCTGACCAAGTCTGTAATACCTACATGTTTCATGTAGACCACATAGTCCCTGTGCCCAAGAAAGCGAAGGTAACCTTGCCTAAATGACTTACCGGCCCCGTAGCATCACGTAGGTAGCTATGAAGTGCTTTGAAAGGTGGTCATGGCTCACATCAACCCATCATCCCAAAAACCATAGACCCACTCCCAATTCACATACCGCCCAACAGATCCACAGATGACGCCATCTCAATCGCACTCACATGACCCTTTCCCAACTGGACAAAAGGAACACCAATGTGAGAATGCTGTCATTGACTACAGCTCAGCGTCAACACCATAGTGCCCACAAAAGCTTCATCACTAAGCTAAGGACCCTGGACTAAACACCTCCCTCTGTAAATGGATCCTGGACATCCTGATGGGCCGCCGCGGGGTAAAGGAGGCAACAAACACATCTTCAACGTGATCCTCAACCACTGGGGCACCTCAGGGGTGCGGGCTAGTCCGTCATGCACTCCCTGTTCACCCACGACTGCGTGGCAACACCATAATTAAGTTTGTTGATGACGCAACCGTGGTAGGCTGGTCAATGACAATGATGAGGACAGCCTAACGGGAGGAGGTCAGAGACCTGGCAGTGTGGTGCCAGGACAACAACCTCATCCCTCAACGTGGCAAGGACAAGGAAGCTGTTGTGGACTACAGGAAAAGAGGGCGAACATGCCACCATTCAATCGACGTGGCGTATTGGAGCGGATTGAGAGTTTCAAGTTCCTTGGTTGCACATCATGGTGCCAAAAACACCAAAACAGTCTGCACGACAACGCCTTTTCCCCTAGGAGACTGAAAAGATTGGATGTTCATACAGCTGACCATTGAGCGCATTCTGACCGGTTGTATCACCGCCTAGTAGTCAACTGCTCTGCACTATACCGACCGTAAGGCACTAACAGGGGTAGGCATATGGCCCAGTACATCACTGGGGCATATGCACTACCATCTGTCGGCCTACGGTCGGATGCAGAGAAGTTGACATTACTAGGCTGGTTTGATACAACCGGTCAGAATGCTCTCAATGGTGCAGCTGTAGAACATGCCAAATCTTTTCAGTCTCCTTAGGGGGAAAAGGCGTTGTCGTGCACGACTGTTTTGGTGTGTTTGGACCATGATGTGGCAACCAAGGAACTTGAAACTCTCAATCCGCTCCAATACAGCCACGTCGATGTGAATGGTGGCATGTTCGGCCCTCCTTTTCCTGTAGTCCACAAACAGCTCCTTTGTCTTGCTCACGTTGAGGGAGAGGTTGTTGTCCTGGCACCACACTGCCAGGTCTCTGACCTCCTCCCGTTAGGCTGTCTCATCATTGTCATTGACCAGGCCTACCACGGTTGCGTCATCACCAAACTTAATGATGGTGTTGCCACGCAGTCGTGGGTGAACAGGGAGTGCAGGACGGGACTAAGCACGCACCCCTGAGGTGCCCCAGTGTTGAGGATCAGCGTGGAAGATGTGTTGTTGCCTACCTTTACCACCTGGCGGCGGCCCATCAGGAGGTCCAGGATCCAGTTACAGAGGGAGGTGTTTAGTCCCAGGGTCCTTAGCTTAGTGATGAGCTTTGTGGGCACTATGGTGTTGACCGCTGAGCTGTAGTCAATGAACAGCATTCTCACATTGGTGTTCCTTTTGTCCAGTTGGGAAAGGGCAGTGTGGAGTGCGATTGAGATTGCGTCATCTGTGGATCTGTTGGGGCGGTATGTGAATTGGAGTGGGTCTAGGGTTTTTGGGATGATGGTGTTGATGTGAGCCATGACCAGCCTTTCAAAGCACTTCATAGCTACCGACGTGAGTGCTACGGGGCGGTAGTCATTTAGGCAGGTTACCTTCGCTTTCTTGGGCACAGGGACTATGGTGGTCTACATGAAACATGTAGGTATTACAGACTTGGTCAGGGAGAGGTTGAAAATGTCAGTGAACACACTTGCCAGTTGGTCTGCGCATGCTCTGAGTACACATCCTGGTAATCCGTCTGGCCTTGTGAATGTTGACCTGTTTAAAGGTCTTGCTCACATCGGCTACGGAGAGCGTGATCACACAGTTGTCTGGAACAGCTGGTACTCTCATGCATGCTTCAGTGTTGCTTGCCTCGAAGCGAGCATAAAAGGCATTTAGCCCGTCTGGTAGGCTCGCGTCACTGGGCAGCTTGCGGCTGGGTTTCCCTTTGTAGTCCGTAATAGTTCGCAAACCCTGACACATCTGACGAGCATCAGAGCCGGTGTAGTGGGATTCAATCTTACTCCTGTATTGACGCTTTGCCTGTTTGATGGTTCGTCTGAGGGCATAGCGGGATTTGTTATAAGTGTCCGGATTAGTGTCCCCGCTCCTTGAAAGCGGCAGCTCTAGCCTTTAGCTCGGTGCAGATGTTGCCTGTAATCCATGGCTTCTGGTTGGGATATGTACGTACGGTCACTGTGGGGACGTCGTCGTCAAGTCACTTATTGATGAAGCAGGTGACTGAGTTGGTATACTCCTCAATGCCATTGGATGAATCCCGGAACAAACCGGTGCGCCTGGGCACCTACTTCCATACCTTGTTCAAAGGCACTTAAATGTTGTGTCTTGCCAATTCTCTAAATGGCACACATACACAATCCATGTCTCAATTGTCTCAAGACTTTAAAATCCTTCTTTAGTCACCTCCATTTAATCTACACTGATTGAAGTGGATTTAACAAGTGATATCAATAAGGGATCATAGTTTTCACCTGGATTCACCTGGTCAGTCTATGTCATGTATACTCAGTATATAATTATTTATTAGTCTATTTTGGGTTAGGGTTAGGGTAATAGCCAGGGTTAGGGTTGAACCAGGATGTGGACATGAAGCTAGGGCTTTGGTAATGGTTTTGGTTGAGGCTAAGGTAAGGGTTCCTACATGAATAAATACTAGTTTACTATAGAATACTACAGTACATACTATTAAATTCTATAGTAAACTGTAGTATACTATACTACACACTGTAGTATCCCTCAATCATGTGTAGTACTTATAATATATAGTAGAATGTTGTAGTATACTGAAGAATAACATAGTAAATACTATTTAATTTCCATATACCCTGCCCATATCGCAATTTGTGCCACCCATGAGAGATAAACCTACATGCCAAGTATAGACCATATAGTGTGTTCCCTAGATGTTATAGAATATAGTAGAAGCGCTGAACAATCCGTTCAGACCCTGGTCCTACCTACCTACAGGTTGTGGAAAATGTGCTATTTTAGTAGTAATGGGCATTCCTAATTATTTTCAGTGAGTGGGCTGAAATGGCTTTTCATTCAAAATGCTTCTCAATTGACCTAAAACCATGAAAAAAATTGATAATCTCCAATGTAAATCTCAAAAGGTAGGCTACCATTATGTCAGATCGTGAAATGCGCGTTCACATTTTTTTTACCTGGACAAATTATTAGATGCCGTGCAAAAATATGGAATTGGACCAGATTGAGGCGCTGTCACAATCGTCGAGAAGAGAGGACCAAGGCGCAGCGTGGAAGGTGAACATACTTATTTATTAAATGATTACACGAAAAAAAAAAAAAAAATCGATACGTGACGTCCAAAGGTGTAAAACACAAACCTACACAGGAACACGATCCTACAAACACTGTCGGAAAACAGCCTGTCTAAATATGGTTCCCAATCAGAGACAACCAGCAACAGCTGACACTCGTTGCCTCTGATTGAGAACCACTCTGGCCAACATAGATATACATGAACTAGAATAAACAAAGAACACTCACACCCTGGCTCAACATACAAGCGTCCCCAGAGCCAGGGCGTGACAGGCGCTCTCCCCACTACAGTAAATACTACAGTATAGTACAGTCCACAAAAACACTACATTACTATAGTATTTTTTACTACCGTTTTTTTTTACTACAGTATGCAATAGTTAACTGTAAATACTACAGTAAAGTCTAAAAAAACACTACAATGAATACTACAGTGGGGGAAAAAAGTATTTAGTCAGCCACCAATTGTGCAAGTTCTCCCACTTAAAAAGATGAGAGAGGCCTGTAATTTTCATCATAGGTACACGTCAACTATGACAGACAAAATGAGAAAGAAATTTCCAGAAAATCACATTGTAGGATTTTTAATGAATTTATTTGAAAATTATGGTGGAAAATAAGTATTTGGTCAATAACAAAAGTTTCTCAATACTTTGTTATATACCCTTTGTTGGCAATGACACAGGTCAAACGTTTTCTGTAAGTCTTCACAAGGTTTTCACACACTGTTGCTGGTATTTTGGCCCATTCCTCCATGCAGATCTCCTCTAGAGCAGTGATGTTTTGGGGCTGTCGCTGGGCAACACGGACTTTCAACTCCCTCCAAAGATGTTCTATGTGGTTGAGATCTGGAGACTGGCTAGGCCACTCCAGGACCTTGAAATGCTTCTTACGAAGCCACTCCTTCGTTGCCCGGGCGGTGTGTTTGGGATCATTGTCATGCTGAAAGACCCAGCCACGTTTCATCTTCAAAATCTCACGATACATGGCCTCATTCATTCTTTCCTTTACACGGATCAGTCGTCCTGGACCCTTTGCAGAAAAACAGCCCCAAAGCATGATGTTTCCACCCCCATGCTTCACAGTAGGTATGGTGTTCTTTGGATGCAACTCAGCATTCTTTGTCCTCCAAACACGACGAGTTGAGTTTTTACCAAAAAGTTATATTTTGGTTTCATCTGACCATATGACATTCTCCCAATCCTCTTCTGGATCATCCAAATGCACTCTAGCAAACTTCAGACGGGCCTGGACATGTACTGGCTTAAGCAGGGGGACACGTCTTGCACTGCAGGATTTGAGTCCCTGGCGGCGTAGTGTGTTACTGATGGTAGGCTTTGTTACTTTGGTCCCAGCTCTCTGCAGGTCATTCACTAGGTCCCCCCGTGTGGTTCTGGGATTTTTGCTCACCGTTCTTGTGATCATTTTGACCCCACGGGTGAGATCTTGCGTGGAGCCCCAGATCGAGGGAGATTATCAGTGGTCTTATAGGTCTTCCATTTCCTAATAATTGCTCCCACAGTTGATTTCTTCAAACCAAGCTGCTTACCTATTGCAGATTCAGTCTTCCCAGCCTGGTGCAGGTCTACAATTTTGTTTCTGGTGTCCTTTGACAGCTCTTTGGTCTTGGCCATAGTGGAGTTTGGAGTGTGACTGTTTGAGGTTTGTGGACAGGTGTATTTTATACTGATAACAAGTTCAAACAGGTGCCATTAATACAGGTAACGAGTGGAGGACAGAGGAGCCTCTTAAAGAAGAAGTTACAGGTCTGTGAGAGCCAGAAATCTTGCTTGTTTGTAGGTGACCAAATACTTATTTTCCACCATAATTTGCAAATAAATTAATTAAAAATCCTACAATGTGATTTTCTGGAAAAAAAAATCTCAATTTGTCTGTCATAGTTGAAGTGTACCTATGATGAAAATTACAGGCCTATACCATATAATTTTTTCATGTGAGTTGAACCGGGACGTGGACATAAAGCTAGAGTTAGGGCTATGGTTAGTGGATGCACGGTAGAATGGTCTCACCTGTTTGTCGTTTCGATGTACAGACCCCATCCCGTCCCTTTCTGTGCCTCCTCTGGTGAACTATAGATAGATTAGACAGACAGACAGACAGACAGACAGACAGACAGACAGACAGACAGACAGACAGACAGACAGACAGACAGACAGACAGACAGACAGACAGACAGACAGACAGACAGACAGACAGACAGACAGAAAGAAAGAAAGAAAGAAAGAAAGAAAGAAAGAACAGTCAGCACCCCATTTAAACCTGGGACATTAGTGTACTGTGCTAGCTTGAATTTATTATTTTCAGCACAGTTCCAGCAACTATGATTGATGCTGCCTAACCAGGCCAGCGCGGTACATCTCGGCTCTGCATTAGATGATTGTGAAAAGAGTAGTTATCACTCACTCAGTTAGGGAGAGGTGTCTACATACCAGTTAGTAGGACTTTGACGACTAGAGCTGCCACTATGACAGCAGCAGTGAGACAGGCCACAGCGGGCACCACTACCCAGGTCAGCTCCAAGTAGCGTTGCATGGCCGGGGTTTCCCCAACCATGGCAGGGGCACGGCCACGGGCATCAGCTTGGTCCACTTTGAAAAGCAAAGAGAAAGAAGCAGTCAGAATCAAAGCTCTTTCCATGGTGGATTTCAGCCAAAAGAAAAGGAGGACTCTGCAATGTATACTTCAGTGTGTTTTATATAAACAGTGGTCATACACATTGACTTCAAGCACCTTTTCAAAGCATAGGATGTTTGTATCTTTATATTTTTCTGTGTGATATTTCCTAATACCACTTAGCCTACAACCTATTTTCAGTTTGGTTTTTTAAACCTGGAGTGGTTTGTGAATGTGTTGAGAAAAAAAAAATCATTTTTGTTGGTATGAGGAATTCTATCATGTTAGCATTGTTTTCTGAACCCTTGCCATAAAGCCAGTCAAATAGAGTGGAAGCATTTAGCTACAGTGCCTTCAGAAAGTATTCACACCCCTTGACTTTTTCCACATTTTGTTGTGTTACAGCCTGCATTTTTTATTGTTTAATTGAGATTTTGTGTCACTGGCCTACACACAATACCCCATATTGTCAAAGTGGAATTATGTTTTTCAACTGTTTACGGATTAATTGTGTCTTGAGTCAATAAGTATTCAACCCTTTGTTATGACAAGCCTAAATACGTTTAGGAGTAAACATTTGCTTAACAAGTCACATAATAACTTTTATGGACTCACTCTGTGTGCAATAATAGTGTCAGACATGAGCATGGTGAACTTATTAATTACACTTTGGACGGAGAGGAAGGAAACTGCTCAGGGATTTCACCATGAGGCCAATGGTGTTTAATGGCTGTGATAGGATGATGGATCAACAACATTGTATTTACTCCACAATACTAACCTAAATGACAGAGTGAAAAGAAGGAAGCTTGTACAGAATACAAATATTCCAAAACATGCATCCTGTTTGCAATAACACTAAAGTAAAATGCAAACAATGTGGTAAAGAAATCAACTTTATGTCCTGAATACAAATAATTATTTTAGGGGCAAATCCAATCCACATATTACTGAGTACCACTCTTCATATTTTCAAGCATGGTGGTGGTTCTTTCATGTTATGCATATGCTTGTCATCAGCATGGACTAGGGAGATTTTTAAGATAAAAATAAATGGAATAGAACTAAGCGCAGGCAAAATCCTAGATAAAAACCTGGTTCAGTCTGCTTTCCAACTGACACTGGGAGACAAATTCACCTTTCAGCAGGACAATAACCTAAAACACAAAGCCAAATATTCACTGAAGTTGCTTACCAAGACGACATTGAATGTTCCTGAGTGGCCTAGTTACAGTTAGACTTAATTCGGCTTGAAAATCTATGACAAGACCTGAAAATGTCTGTCCAGCAATGATCAACAACCAACTTGACAGAGCTTGAATAATTTTTTAAAGAATAATGTGCAGATATTGTACAATCCCAGTGTGCAAAACTCTTAGAGACTTACCCAGAAAGACTCACAGCTGTAATCGCTGCCAAAGCTGATTCTAACATGTATTGGCTCAGGGGTGTGAATACTTATGGAAATTAGATATTTCTGTATTTAATTTTCAATAACTTTGCAAAAATGTCTAAAAACAGGTTTTGGGTATTGGTTGTAGATTAGTGATATAAAAAAAACATGTAATCCATTTTGAATTCAGGCTGTAACAACAAAATGGGGAATAATTCAAAGGGTATGAATACTTTCTGAAGGCACTGTACATTTGGCGTGTTCAGTCTCGTTCAACACACACACACAGCCTCAAACAAAAGATACTTAGGCTGTGAAGTCAACAGTGTTTGTATCAGATAGGGGCCAAGGCAAGGTGTGCATGCCAAGATTTCCTGAAGACTTGCGTTAGCTACCAGAGCCAATACCTTGGCTTTAGCTCATTGGGCTAACAACACGGTCTTGTGGGAGACCCTGTAGGAACCCAGTCAGTCACTCAAGGCTGAATGGTCACACAAGGCTGAACTCAAGAGAGTTTTGAATGAGCTCACTTCTTCTTAGTAAACCCTTGTATTATAGGTCAAAAAGTTTCACAACACTCACAGCATCGTATATAGCAATGAAGGATGGTGGCAGCATACTTTACGTTAAGCCTCTTCACCTGTCAAAATAGAATATGCGTCTATCAATCAATGTCAAAATGCCTGTGAGATCTATACATGTACGAACATTTACATGAACAGTACTCATCATACCAGGACACAGGTGTTTGGTAGGCATACGTCCACAGTCAGGTTGAGGTTAACAGATTTCTCCTGCAAATGGAAGACATAAAATATTTTAGTGTACTAAACTCTCCTGTAAAAGGAAACAGAATACAAAAACATGTCAGTGAGCTTTAGAAGAAGAAACAGATTTCCTTACAGCTTCTGTTGTACTTCTGTTTAGGTGTGTACTACCTGGTATTGTGTTTCTGTCAGTTCTTCACGGTATTAGACTAGCGGTTAAGAACATTGGGCCAGTAACCGAAAGGTCATATTGAGGACATAACATTATTAAAACTGTGTTTGTGCAAAATGTTGCTGTGAAAAGTGTGGCCTGCTCAAACACTGGCTGTTGCGTCAATCGTGACTAGATGTTCTAATGAAGTGTTCTAATCACACCGGTTTGAGCCTACGCTGCAGGGACCACTGTAGAATGATTACACCCGCGTATTCGTACGCGTAAAAGAGTTACTCAAATTGGAAATTAGCTATTATCAGGCTGGTTAATGCGATGCATGTCTGTTGAATTTGGAAAAATCCACCCTCACTCGGTCCCGCCCCACCTACTTAGCCAATCAGGAGCCGCTACTGCGTTGTGGCTGTGTCATACTGCATACTTTTTACTAAACGCTACGTGCTAAATAGTATGCAACGATGAGTAAAGAGTATGCACTTTAAGTATGTAGTACGCTAGTATGGGTATTCGGACACGGCCACTGTCTCTGTGTCCTAAGTTGAAACAGAAAAATGAGACAGAAAAAGCTGTTTCTTTTTGTGGGAGCACTCAAGCCCGTTAAGTCTTGGATCAGATGTGTATGAATGTTTCAGACGGGTTCATGTCTCTGCAGAGTGGTGATGCTGTTAAACAGCCTGTGAAGATTCTGTGAGACACTGGGGTAACCCAATCCTTCATTTTGGAGGATGTTCTTGTCAATGTTTGGACTTCCGCAGGTAGTCCAATCAGACCAAGGTTCTAATTTCAGCAAGTGCTACAGCAGTTGGGTGTTACCTATTGCCCCTCTAGTACCTACCACCCAGAGTCTCAAGGTGCTCTTGAGAGATTTCATCAGACTTTGAAGTCTATGTTGAGAGCTTACGGCTTTGAGTTCGAGAAAGACTGGGATGAAAGGGTCCCTCTAGTGCTATTTGCAGCACGGGAAGTTGTTCAAGAATCTGGTGTCACCGTTTTAAGCTCGCTTTTCAGGCCCTTACCCCATAAATATATATATATTTTTAAATCTGGATTACGTCATCGCCACACCGGAGTGCAGGGTGAAAAAACTACTGTGTCATGTCAATATGTTGAAACCATACTTCTCCCGCTGTGATCAGGCGGAGAAGTCGGTGGAAACCGGTAGTGGCCTGTGGCCACTGCCATCACCGTTGACGATAGTCTTTCTTGAGAGCATGAGGAAAGCCCAATACACACTGTGCCGGGACGGTTGAGTAACACAGAGATTCTGGAAAACCTTGAGGGCTTTTTGGCACACTTGTCTCTGGAGGAGAAAGGCGACATTGTTGCACTGTTTTTAGAATATCAGGGTTTATTTTCAGATGTGCCAACTCAGACAAATGTACTAGAGCGTGACACGTTAGGGACTCGAGTGAATTGATGTTAAATGTTAAACTGTCAAAGAGTGAAATCACCCAAGCAACAGTGAAGTATCTCTGGAAGATGGTGGACCAAGGAAAAGTCTGACCTGTCATGGTAAAAGCGGAGGCCATCAATAGCCTTCCTGTGCCAACTTCTCGCCAGGGACTGTGCCAATTCTTGAGGGTGGCTGGCTACTACCAGCCATTTTGCAAGAACTTTGCCCAGGTTGTTGCCCCCACTTACGGATTTGACCAGTCACAAAGTAATTTTCCGTTGGAGCCCAGACTGTCAAGCGGCTTTTGAGAAGACGAAGACCCTTTTGGTCTCCGCACCTTTGCTTGCCGCTCCAGATTTCTGTCATCCATTCTCTTTGTATACAGATGCCAGTGATGTAGGAGCAGGTGCTGTGCTTCTGCAGCAAGCCGACAACGATGTTGAGCATCCATCCTCCTATCAGAAACACGACTCCACCATTGAGAAAGAAACACTCACCAGCAGATCAAGGTTTATGTATCGGTCTCTACCCCGCTTCTGGTCTTTAGTGATTGTAACCCTCTTGTTTTCCTGTAAAAGATGAGCTCCACGAATTGCATACTCCTTCACTGGAGTCTCATATTGCAGGAGTTTCCTTTTGAAATCAGACATGTCCGTGGTAAGGACAACTTGGATGCTGATTGTCTTTCAAGAGTGGGCAGTCAATTTGTTTTTGTTGTGCTTAGTTAGTGTGTAGCCCTGGCACAAATTGTATTGGTTGGGCTTGTCCCGAGGAAATGGGAATACTAGGAAGGTACACAGATCGAGATTTTCCCTCTTTTGTCAAAACTTCTGCGTTTTAGGCAGCTATTGTATTTTTTAAATATTTGTTTTTGTAAAAATATGTTGTATTTATTATAGAATTGAATGGTATCAGTCAATGTGAGGAGGGAGAAACCCTGTGTATTCTGCACCAGGATCAGGGAACTGCTGTTGTATACAGGACACCACACAGGAAGGTATGACCACTCTGACATGTTTGCCAAGGTAGCCCTATTACCAGCAGACAAAATGCCGATAGGCACAGTATCTGTACAAAATGGGAATGACAATGAAAGGTGCACATTGTTATATTAGCAGAACACTGCTTCTATGGTATTATGTAAAGGGTTGTTTATTCTACATGGACCTGAACGTTATCAAAACATGTTGTTTAGAATATCTACATAAATTCAGCAATGAAATTCTTCTCATATTATTCTGTAGGCTACTGACCTATTCAAAGCTTCCTCCAGCATCTCACCATACATCTGCCTGTAGTTATTGAACTCAACCTGCAGGAGGTTTGTTTGTTGTGATTGAGTTGGGGGGAAACAGCTGCGGGCAAGGTTCTGACAGATGGGTGTGTCTTGGTGGTGGTAAGGAGAAAATTCGTTTTGCATGGCCTGTTGCCCTGGCTGGGCGGGGTTTGCTCATTTTCGACCATTCCATTGGTCCTAAGGAGAAATCTCCACCCGCCCAGGGCACAGGGCCATGTAAAACGAACCTGCCCACTGACACACCCAAGAAACCACACCCCTAAGCCAACTCACGTTTGGTTTCTGTCATGGCCGTCAGCATTTCTTGAGGAGCAAGCCAAAAAACGAGGCCAACTCAGTGGGTGTAGTTCCCCTTTAAGTTGATCATGTGCGCTGATTGGAGTCATCCTCAGTGGTTAGGATGTGTTGCACTTGTTGCCTCGTTAGTTTCGCCTGTGCTGGCACAGGTGATATTTAAGAGCTGCAGAGCCAATGTTCCATTTACATTTTAGTCATTCAGCAGACGCTCTTATCCAGAGCGATTTACAGTTAGTGAGTGCATAGAAGTCATACATTATTATTTTTTATCATACTGGCCCCCCGTGGGAAACGAACCCACAACCCTGGCGTTGCAAACGCCATGCTCTACCAACTGAGCTTCATCCCTGCTGGCCATTCCCTCCACTACCCTGGGCCAATTGTGCGCCGCTCCATGGGTCTCCCGGTCGCAGCCTGCTACAACAGAGCCTGGATTCGAACCAGGATCTCTAGTGGCACAGCTAGCACTGCAATGCAGTGCCTTAGACCACTGCTCCAGTTGGCATGAGAGATGTTGGAAGAGCAGTTTAACTCTCCTTCTAAGTTTGTGAATACAAATCCTTTTATTTTGTGTCTCCCTGTTAAGGTCTGCTCCATGTTTATTTTCACTCCCTAACTTAAGTTGGTGTGGGTTATTTTAGTTTGTCTGTATCAGGCAACTCTAATGGGCGTCCATGGTGGGTGTGTTAAGACCCTACTCGAGTTTGCTTGGCCAGCACTCAGTAGACACCCACATGGATGCCTTTCAGAACCGATTTTAAAACCCCACCAGGTTTAGTTCACTTTTTATGTTGAGCGATGATTTTTGGTTGGTTATTGGGGAACTTAAGTCATACAGTAATTGTATCTTTGTTTGGTCAACACAGCTCCTTGATACAGCAGACTTCATAGTTAGCAAACACCATTATTTTTTTAAATAATCATTAGTACTGTTGCCTATGATAAGAATTAGTTGCAGATAGATATTTATTTACCCCAGGTACAGGGAATGTGTGTCCTTGGTGGCATGCAGAGGTCCCCGTCTTCACACACACACGAAGAGAGATGGGTGCTCTGACCCGTGATGTTACAACCAGCCGCAGCTGGTCGACACCCAGGTCCCAGGCTGGAGAGCAAGGCAATGGCATCATTCAACATTAATTACTGTGTGATCACCTGCTGTATAGAGCCCCACAGTGGAGGTGTCATAATACCCATAAATCCTAGTGGTCAAAAGGAAACGGTTTCAATAGTTTTCCCACCATTCGTTTTCCCCATAGGGGATTTTCGAAGCACTTAAAATAATTGCTGTGTTTCATGTGGGCTTACCCTGGCGTGATGTTTTGATAACCATGTAATTTTTCTCGGAGAAGGTGACTTTTATCAATATATTTGGCTCGAATTACTCTCACATTCGAAAATGGTAACTAGCATCAAAGTAGACATCATGCAAAGCTACAAATCCCTGCAAGTCATCTCTGGCCGATACCTTTGCTAACAGGTATTGTGTCAATTTAAAACTTGCACAAGACAGTTCACAGAATAGTCCATTTAAAGAAATGTAGCCTATTTATTCATTACTACATTTAGCTAACATTAGATAGTTAATCCAGAGATTCTTACCTTTGCCTCGAATTCGGCAGGCTCATCCAGATCATCAATGTATTTGTAGTTTTTTATGATAGCCACATTAACAGCTAATTAGCATTTCATTTTTGTGGGGTTAATAGGAAAACTACAATGAGTGGCGCAGTGGTCTAAGGCACTGCATCGCAGTGCTAGCTGTGCCACTAGAGATCCTGGTTTGAATCCAGGTTCTGTCGTAGCCGGCCGTGACCGGGAGACCCATGGGGCGGCGCACAATTGGCCCAGCATCGTCCAGGGTAGGGGAGGGAATGGTCGGCAGGGATGTAGCTCAGTTGGTAGAGCATGGCGTTTGCAACACCAGGGTTGTGGGTTCGATTCCCACGGGGGGGCAGTATAAAAAAATAAAATATATGCACTCACTAACTGTAAGTCGCTCTGGATAAGAGCGTCTGCTAAATGACTAAAATGAAATACAGGCATACAGTGGGGAAAAAAAGTATTTAGTCAGCCACCAATTGTGCAAGTTCTCCCACTTAAAAAGATGAGAGAGGCCTGTAATTTTCATCATAGGTACACATCAACTATGACAGACAAATTGAGAAAAAAAAATCCAGAAAATCCCATTGTAGGATTTTTAATGAATTTATTTGCAAATTATGGTGGAAAATAAGTATTTGGTCACCTACAAACAAGCAAGATTTCTGGCTCTCACAGACCTGTAACTTCTTCTTTAAGAGGCTCCTCTGTCCTCCACTCGTTACCTGTATTAATGGCACCTGTTTGAACTTGTTATCAGTATAAAATACACCTGTCCACAACCTCAAACAGTCACACTCCAAACTCCACTATGGCCAAGACCAAAGAGCTGTCAAAGGACACCAAAAACAAAATTGTAGACCTGCACCAGGCTGGGAAGACTGAATCTGCAATAGGTAAGCAGCTTGGTTTGAAGAAATCAACTGTGGGAGCAATTATTAGGAAATGGAAGACATACAAGACCACTGATAATCTCCCTCGATCTGGGGCTCCACGCAAGATCTCACCCCGTGGGGTCAAAATGATCACAAGAACGGTGAGCAAAAATCCCAGAACCACACGGGGGGACCTAGTGAATGACCTGCAGAGAGCTGGGACCAAAGTAACAAAGCCTACCATCAGTAACCCACTACGCCGCCAGGGACTCAAATCCTGCAGTGGGAGACGTGTCCCCCTGCTTAAGCCAGTACATGTCCAGGCCCGTCTGAAGTGCATTTGGATGATCCAGAAGAGGATTGGGAGAATGTCATATGGTCAGCTGAAACCAAAATATAACTTTTTGGTAAAAACTCAACTCGTCATGTTTGGAGGACAAAGAATGCTGAGTTGCATCCAAAGAACACCATACCTAATGTGAAGCATGGGGTTGGAAACATCATGCTTTGGGGCTGTTTTTCTGAAAAGGGACCAGGACGACTGATCCGTGTAAAGGAAAGAATGAATGGGGCCATGTATTGTGAGATTTTGAGTGAAACCCTCCTTCCATCAGCAAGGGCATTGAAGATGAAACGTGGCTGGGTCTTTCAGCATGACAATTATCCCAAACACACCACCCGGGCAACGAAGGAGTGGCTTCGTAAGAAGCATTTAAAGGTCCTGGAGTGGCCTAGCCAGTCTCCAGATCTCAACCCCATAGAAAATCTTTGGAGGGAGTTGAAAGTCTGTGTTGCCCAGCGACAGCCCCAAAACATCACTGCTCTAGAGGAGATCTGCATGGAGGAATGGGCCAAAATACCAGCAACAATGTGTGAAAACCTTGTGAAGACTTACAGAAAACGTTTGACCTGTGTCATTGACAACAAAGGGTATATAACAAAGTATTGAGAAACTTTTGTTATTGACCAAATACTTATTTTCCACCATCATATGCCAATAAATTCATAAAAAATCCTACAATGTGATTTTCTGGATTTTTTCTCCTCATTTTGTCTGTCAAAGATGACGTGTACCTATGATGAAAATTACAGGCCTCTCTCATCTTTTTAAGTGGGAGAACTTGCACAATTGGTGGCTGACTAAATACTTTTTTTCCCCACTGTATAAAGTCTGCACCATAATTCATTGGACAGTGACCGTTATTTTGGTTCTGTACTCTAGCACTTTGAGTTTTAAAGGATACAATGGCAATGAGGGTGAAGTGCAGACTGTCAGCTTTAATTGTAGGGTATTTTCATACATATCGGATGAACCGTTCAGAAATGAATGAAGCTTTTGTACATGGTCCCCCCCCCCCCCATTTTCGGGCATCAAAAAACATTGGACAGTTTAACATAATGTAGAATAAAGTAATCATTGTTAATATTTGGTCGCAGATCCTTTGCATGCAATGACTGCTTGAAGTCTACGATGCATCGACATCACCAGACGCTGGGTATCTTCCCTGGTGATGCTCTGCCAGGCCTATACTGCAGCCATCTTCAGTTCCTGCTTGTTTCGGGGACTTTCAAGGATTTTCTACTTTTTGGCCATCAAAAACCCCTTCGTTGCTCTAGCAGTATGTTTAGGGTCATTGTCTTGTTGCATGATGAAGTGCCATCCATTGAGTTTGGAGGCATTTGGTTTTATCTGAGCAGATAAAATATTTCTGTAGACTTCAGAATTCATTGTTCTACTTCTGTCTGCAGTCACATCATCGATGAAGTGAGCCTGTTCCACTGGCAGCCATACAGGCCCAAGCCATAACACCCCCTCCACCAAGTTTCACGGATGAGGTGGTATGCCTTGGATCATGGTCATTTCTTTTTTTTCTCCACACTTTCCTCTTTCCATCACTCTGGTACATGTTAATCTTTGTCTCATCTGTCCACAATACTTTTTTCCAGAACTCTTGGCGCTCTTTTATGTGCTTTTTAGCAAACTGTAATCTCGCCTTTCTGTTCTTCAGGCTTATCAGTGGTTTGCATCTTGTAGTGTACCCTCTGTAGTCCTGCTGGTGTAGTCTTGTCAAGGCGTCAGTGTAATGCGGTAGGCGAAGTCAGGCGCAGGACACAGAGCTAATCAAAAAACGTACTGTACTCGTAGGTAAAAGTATGAAACAAAACCTCCACGCAGGGAGGGAATAAACCTGCACACTAACAACAACCAAAACATGAACAAACACGCACAACACACAGTGTGAGACAGAGGGTGAAATAGGGAAGACATAACTACATGATGGGAAACAGGTGTGACCAATGAAGACAAAACAAGTCGAACATAGATACATGGATCGGTAGTAGCTAGTACTCCAGTGACAAAGAACGCCGAAGCCTGCCCGAGCAAGGAGGAGGGGCAGCCTCGGCTGAATCCGTGACAGTAAAACCTGAGGTAAGGCTGATCGAGACCCCCAGACGTTCAATGAACGCCCTCCAGACCCTTGAGGTGAACTGGGGACCCCGATCCGACACAATATCCTCAGGTACCCCGTAGTGCCGGAAGACGTGTTTAAATTGGGCCTCAGCAGTTTGTAGGGCTGTAGGGAGACCAGGCATTGTAATGAGACGGCAGGACTTGGAAAACCGATCCACAACGACCAGGATCGTGGTGTTTCCTTGTGAGGGGGGAAGGTCTGTCACAAAATCCACCGATAGGTGGGACCACGGCCATTGTGGAACAGGTAGGGGTTGTAATTTCCCTCTGGGCAGGTGTCCAGGTGCCTTACACTGGGCGCACACCGAGCAGGAGGAAACATAAACCCTCATGCCCTTGGCTAAAGTGGGCCACCAGTACTTCCCACTAAGACAGTGCAATGTCCGACCGATGCCAGGATGACCAGAGGAGGGTGACGTGTGAGCCCAATAGATCAATCGATCACGAACCTCAAGCGGCACGTACATCCGACCCTCTGGACACTGGGGGGGAGTGGGCTCAGTACGTAACGCCCGCTCGATGTCCGCGTCAACCTCCCACACCACCGGTGCCACCAGACACGACGCCGGAAGTATGGGAGTGGGCTCAATGGACCTCTCCTTCTGGGAACCTGGTCTGTAAGTGAGAGTAAACACAAAACGAGTGAAGAACATGGCCCACCTTGCCTGGCGAGGGTTCAACCTCCTCGCCGCCCGGATGTACTCCAGATTACGATGGTCAGTCAAAATGAGAAAAGGGTGTTTAGCCCCCTCAAGCCAATGCCTCCACACTTTCAGAGCTTTAACCACAGCTAACAGCTCCCAGTCCCCCACATCATAGTTGCGCTCCGCCGGACTGAGCTTCTTAGAAAAGAAAGCACAGGGGCGGAGTTTTGGTGGCGTACCCGAGTGCTGAGACAGTAAAGCTCCAATCCCAGCCTCGGACGCGTCCACCTCAACCTGGAATGCCAAGGAAGGATCCGGATGAGCCAGCACCGGAGCCAAGGTAAACAGGTCCTTCAGATGACCAAAAGCCCTGTCCGCCTCAGCTGACCACTGTATACTCACCGGTCCTCCCTTTAGCAAGGAGGTAATGGGAGCCGCTACCTGACCAAAGACCCGGATAAACCTCCGGTAGTAGTTGGCAAAACCCAAGAATCGCTGCACCTCCTTCACCATGGTTGGAGTCGGTCAATTACACACGGGCGAAATGCGGTCAATCTCCATCTCCACACCTGACGCGGACAGGCGGTGTCCTAGGAAGGAGACGGACTCTTGGAAGAACAGACATTTCTCCGCCTTCACATACAGGTCATGCTCCAACAGTCGACCAAGCACCAGGGACACATGCTCGGCCCGTGTAGCGGAGTATATGAGAATGTCATCAATATACACCACTACACCCTGTCCGTGCAGGTCCCTGAAAATCTCATCAACAAAAGATTGGGAGACTGATGGAGCATTCATCAATCCGTATGGCATGACGAGGTACTCATAGTGCCCAGAGGTGGTATTAAATGCTGTCTTCCACTCATCTCCATCCCGGATACGCACCAGGTTGTACGCGCTCCTGAGATCCAATTTCGTGAAGAAGCACGCCCTGTGCAATGACTCCGTCATACTCGCAATCAGAGGTAGTGGATAGCTGTATTTTACTGTGATCTGATTAAGACCACGGTAGTCAATGTACGGCCGTAAGCCACCATCCTTCTTCTTCACAAAAAATTAACTCGATGACACAGGGGAAGTGGAAGGCCGAATGTATCCTTGCCTCAGTGATTCGGTGACATATGTTTCCATAGCCGCCGTCTCTTCCTGTGACAGAGGATACACATGACTCCGGGGAAGCGCAGCACCTACCTGGAGGTTTATCGCACAATCCCCCTGTCGATGGGGTGGTAATTGAGCCAAATCGGCATATTCAGGTGGAATGTGCATGGTGGGAACCTGGTTTGGACTTTCCACCGTAGTTGCCCCTATGGAAACACCTACACACCTCCCCGAGCACTGACTTGACCATCCCTTGAGAGCCCTCTGTTGCCATGAAATAGTGGGGTCATAAGAGGTTAACCAGGGAAGCCCCAACACCACTGGAAACGCAGGAGAATCAATCAGATATAGACTAATTGTTTCCTCATGCCCCTCCTGGGTCTTCATCCAGAGTGGCGCTGTGACCTCCCTAATCAGACCTGACCCTAAAGGGCGACTATCTAGGGCATGTATAGGGAAGGACACATCAACTGGCACAATAGGAATCCCTAGCCTACGGGTAAACTGACGATCAATAAAGTTCCCAGCTGCGCCTGAATCTACTAGCGCCTTATGCTGGGAATGAGAAGAAAACTCGGGAAATACAACACCTATACATATATGCGCAACAGGGAGCTCTGGATGAGTTGGGTGCCTACTCACCTGAAACGATCCACCAGTGCTCTGCCTACTGCCTCGACTCCTAGAAGACCCTCCCCAGCACCGACCAGCAGTGTGTCCTCTGCGGCCACAGTTGGTGCAGGGGACGGCCCCTCTACCGGTCTCCCTCATAGCAGCACCTCCAAGCTCCGTAGGGGTAGGGTCGGAGGTGCTGGGGGATGGAATGGACGGCCCCTGATCCGAACGTCCGCAAGTGGCCAACAGGTTATCCAGTCGGATTGACATATCCACCAGTTGGTCCAGGTTTAGGTTGGTGTCCCTGCAGGCCAGTTCTCGACGAACGTCCTCCCTTAAGCTGCAACGGTAGTGGTCGATGAGGGCCCTCTCATTCCATCCTGCGCTGGCAGCCAGAGTCCGAAAGTCCAGTGCAAAAGTCCAGCGCGCTCCTCTTCCCCTGTCTGAGGTGTAATAGATGGTAACCCGCCGCTTTCCCCTCTGGTGGATGATCGAATACCGCCCTAAAGCAGCGGGTAACCTCTGCATAGCTTACAGTTGCGGCGTCTATTCCCCCCCACTCGGCATTGGCCCACTCAAGCGCTTTACCGGACAGACAGGAGATGAGGGCGGACACGCTCTCGTATCCCGAGGGAGCCGGGTGGATGGTTGCCAGGTAGAGCTCTACCTGGAGCAGAAAACCCTGACACCCGGCAGCTGTACCGTCATATGCCCTCGGGAGCGAGAGCCGAATCCCACTGGACCCAGATGGTGAAGAGGTGGACAGCAGTGTTGGTGGTGGTGTAATTGGAGGAGGTATAGGGATACCGCCTCTCTCCCATTGTTCCATGGTATTAACCACCCGTTCCATAGCGGTGCCGAGAGCCTGGATCATGGCCGCTTGTTGTTGGACGCGTTCCTCCATTGATCCGGCTGGCATTGCTGTACCTGCTGACTCCATGTCAAGGCGTCAGTGTAATGCGGTAGGCGAAGTCAGGCGCAGGACACAGAGCTAATCAAAAAACGTACTTTACTCGTAGGTAAAAGTATGAAACAAAACCTCCACGCAGGGAGGGAACAAACCCGCACACTAACGACAACCAAAACATGAACAAACATGCACAACACACAGTGTGAGACAGAGGGTGAAATAGGGAAGACATAACTACATAATGGGAAACAGGTGTGACCAATGAAGACAAAACAAGTCAAACATAGATACATGGATCGGTAGTAGCTAGTACTCCAGTGACGACGAACGCCGAAGCCTGCCCGAGCAAAGAGGAGGGGCAGCCTCGGCTGAATCCGTGACAAGTCTTCTACGTATGGTAGACTTTGACACATCTACACCTGCATCCAGGAGAGTGTTTTTTTATCTGTTGGGCTGTTGTCAAGGGGGTTTTCTTCACCATAGAGAGTATTCTCCGGTCATCCACTACAGTGGTCTTCCTCGGTCTACCGGGTCTTTTGACATAATTTAGTTCACCAGTTGTTTTTTTCTTGTTAATGATGAACCAAATTGTTGACTTGGGCATGGCCAGGGTTTTTGCAATGTTCCTGATTGATTGATTTTAATTTCTGAGCCTTATGACGGCCAGCTTCATTTGCATCGACACTGCTGTCTTCCTCATGTTATTTCACCCCAACAACAACCTCCAATGGCAATAGCAAAGTCTAGAATCAATACTATTCATCAACAGCTCTCCTGCATTCACTAATGACACAAATGAATACACCTGCCTAACGACTGTGAAGCCAATTTAACAAATCCTTGTAGTACCTTAAAATGGGGGGACCATGTACAAAAGGTGCTGTCATTTCTAAACGGTTCTTCCGATATGTATGAAAATACCCTCAAATTAAAACTGACAGTCTGCGCTTCACCCTCATTGTCATTGTATCCTTTCAAACTCAAAGTGCTAGAGTACAGAACCAAAATAACAATGAATTATGGTGCTCACTGTATGTTGATAAAAGTCACCTTGTCCTAGAGAGATTTACACAGTTATCTAAACGTCACGCCAGGGCAAGCCTACACGAAACGCAGCTCTTATTTTAGGTGTTTCTAAAATCCCCTATGGGAAAAATGTATGGTGGAAAAAACGACTCATACTGTGGTACTCTATACTGGCAATACTAGATAACGGACCTGGGTTCAAAAAGTATTTGTTTTCTTTCCAAAGAATTTTAGCGTTTGATTCAGCCTGCCTGGAGTGCCATCTGGTACTATTCCATTGGTTCATTGTGCCAGACAAGTTCAATAAAATGACATTTTAATCCAGGTCTGCCATAATATTGCATTAGTGTAAAGACTGATACTAGAGCGTTGGAGGTTTCTTATCCTTGGGTGTCATGGGTTTGACTGATGTGCAAGCTGTGGCACCCTTTTCCACTTAAAAGCACATCATTCACAACTTCAGATGGATTACTCATGATAATTATATGCACACTATTTACAGAGCGCTATTACCTTGGAAATTCCCATCTGCAAAGGGGCACCGGATCCAGGATCCAGAATCTTTGGTAAACTGTAGATAAAACAACAGCCAGGAGCATGCATTTGTTAGATTAATTTGTTCTGCATACTCAAAGGGGAGATGTACCGGCATGTTCAGATAGTAAATAGGACTTCTTAGAAAGATAATGCATTCAGTCATTGAAGACGCCACAGGCAAAGGTGATGTCTTACCTTCATACAAAGCTGTGGGTGTGGATCCACTCTGGAGAATGTTATCTGAAAGGAAAGTTAAATGAGGACTTTAATCTATAATAGTTATTGTAAAACAGTCATCTGGTGATATAGCCTTGGTCATATCAGTCTTTTGTCTTTGAAACAGCATATTAACTGTGAAGGAGTTCAAAGAGGTACAGCTGATTGATTTACTAATTGATTGATTGAGGCACCTAACCTTTTCCCTGCTGAGGGTCTGTGATGAACCAGCCAGATCGTCACACTCATCATCCCCTCGTTTTTGGCACAGTGAGATCACCACGGCAACAGGACACACTGGTTCCCATGACAAAGCCTCCTCCACCGGGTCAAAGTTAATGCCGGACCACAACTCCTCCAGACCTTTGGAGAAAAGAAGCGGCGCGGTCAAAAGCAATGCACTGACAATATAGCAAATTTCACAGTCAATCAACCAACCAACTAATAAAACATTCAGTCTAATAGAAGTTGAAGGACACTCACGGTCTTTGAAGGGAAAGACTTGAACTCTGGGTGCATCAGACGTGGCAGACCATCCCTGTGGGATAAATATAGAAATATATACAGTGCATTCGGAAAGTATTCAGACCCCTTGACTTTTCCCACATTTTGTTACGTTACAGCCTTATTCTGAAATTGATTAAATAAATACAAAATCCTCATCAAGCTCCACACAATATCCCATAATGACAAAGAAAAAACAGGTTTTTTAAAAATTGTTGCAAAAAAATACAACAAAAAATAGAAATACCTTATTTACATAAGTATTCAGACTCTTTGCTGTCAGACTCAAAATTGAGCTCAGGTGCATCATGTTTCTATTGATAATCCTTGAGATGTTTCTACAACTTGATTGGAGTCCAACTGTGGTAAATTCAATTGATTGGACATGATTTGGAAAGGCACCCACCTGTCTATACAAGGTCCCACAGTTGACAGTGCATGTCAGAGCAAAAACCAAGCCATGAGGTCGAAGGAATTGTCCGTCAAGGCACAGATCTGGGAAAGGGTACCAAAACATTTCTGCAGCACTGAAGCTCCCCAAGAACACATTGGCCTCCGTCATGCTTAAATGTAAGAAGTTTGGAACCACCAAGACTCTTCCTGGAGCTGGCCACCTGGCCAAACTGAGCAATCGGGGAAAAGGGCCTTGGTCAAGGAGGTGACCAAGAACCTGATGGTCACTCTGACAGAGCTCCAGAGTTCCTCTGTGGAGATGGGAAAACCTTCCAGAAGAACAACTATCTCTGCAGCACTCCACCAATCAGGCCTTTATGGTAGAGTGGCCAGACGGAAGCCACTCCTCAGTAAAAGGAACATGAAGGCCCGCTTCGCACCTAAAGACTCTCAGACCATGAGAAACAAGATTCTCTGGTCTGATGAAACCAAGATTGAACTCTTTGGCCCGAATGCCAAGCGTCATATCTGGAGGAAACCTGGCACCATCCCTACGGTGAAGCATGGTGGTGTCAGCATCATACCCAATAATACTCAAGGCTGTAATCACTGCCAAAGGTGCTTCAACAAAGTACTGAGTAAAGGGTCTGAATATGTACAGTACCAGTCAAAAGTTTGGACCTACTCATTCCAGGGTTTTTCTTTATTTTTACATTGTAGAATTGTAGTGAAGACATAAAAACTAGGAAATGACACACATGGAATCTGTAGTAACCAAAAAAAGTGTTAAACAAATCAAAATATATTTTATATTTTATATCCTTCAAAGTACCCACCCTTTGCCTTGATGACAGCTTTGCACACTCTTGGCATTCTCTCAACCAGCTTCATGAGGTAGTCACCAGGAATGCATTTGTTAAAAGTTAATTTGTGGAATTTATTTCCTTCTTAATGCGTTTGAGACAATCAGTTTTGTGACAAGGAGGTTGTGGTATACAGAAGATAGCCCTATTTGGTAAAATACGAAGTCCAAAAAATGGCAAGAACAGCTCAAATTAGCAAAGAGAAACAACAGTCCATCATTACTTTAAGACATGAATGTCAGTTAATACAGAACATTTCAAGAACTTTGAAAGTTTCTTCAAGTGCAGTCGCAAAAACCATCAAGTGCTATGATGAAACTGGCTCTAATGAGGACCGCCACAAGAATGGAAGACCCAGAGGTACCTCTGCTGCAGAGGATAAGTTCATTAGAGTTACCAGACTCAGAAATTGCAGCCCAAATAAACGCTTCACAGAGTTCAAGTAACAGACACATCTCAAAATCAACTGTTCAGAGAAGATTGTATAAATCAGGCCTTTATGGTCGAATTGCTGCAAAGAAACCACTACTAAAGGACACAAATAACAAGAGACTTGCTTGGGCCAAGAAACACGAGCAATGGACATTAGACCGGTGGAAATTTGTCCTTTGGTCTGGAGTCCAAATTTTAGATTTCTGGTTCCAACCGCCGTGGCTTTGTGAGACGCGGTGTGGGTGAACGGATGATCTCCGCATGTGTATTTCCCACCGTAAAGCATGGAGGACGAGGTGTGATGATATTTTGCTGGTGACACGGTCTGTGACTTCTTTAGAATTCAAGGCACACTTAACCAGCATGGCTACCACAGCATTCTACAGCGATACGCCATCCCATCTGGTTTGGGCTTAGTGGGACTCTCATTTGTTTTTCAACAGGACAATGACCCAACAGACCTCCAAGCTGTGTAAGAACTATTTTACCAAGAAGGAGAGTGATGGATTGCTGCATCGGATGACCTGGCCTCAACCAAATTGAGATGGTTTGGAATGAGTCGGACCACAGAGTGAAGGAAAAGCAAGTGCTCAGCAAATGTGGGAACTCCTTCAAGACTGTTGGAAAAGCATTCCAGGTGAAGCTGGTTGAGAGAATGTCAAGAATGTGCAAAGCTGCCATCAAGGCAAAGGGTGGCTATTTGAAAAATCTCAAATATAAAATATATTTTGATTTGTTTAACACTTTTTTTGTTTACTACATGATTCCATATGTGTGATTTCATAGTTTTGATGTCTTCACTATTATTCTGCAATGTAAAAATAGTAAAAAATAAATAAAAACCCTTGAATGGGTCATCCGTCAGTGTGTAGCGGTAGGACGGAGTCAGGCGCAGGACACAGAATTTAGTCAACGACGTACCTTACTTGACACAAGTAAATAAACATATCTTCCACGCAGGGAAGAAAATACCGACTCACATGTCAATGATCACAAAACAACGAACAATCACGCACAAAACCATGAGGGAACCAGAGGGTAAAATAGGGAAACAAATTATCGTAATTGGAACCAGGTGTGTGCAATATAGAAAAAACAAGTAGAACACAGAAACATAGATCGGTGGCAGCTAGTACTCCGGTGACGACGACCGCCGAAGCCTGCCCGAGCAAGGAGAAGGAGCAGCCTCGGCTGAATTCGTGACAGAATGAGTAGGTGTGTCCAAACTTTTGACTTGTAGTTGTCACGGTTTCGGCCGAGGCTGCCTCTCTTCCTTGCTCGGGCAGGCTTCGCGTTCGTCGTCTCCGGAATACTAGCTGCCACCGTTGTATGTTTCTATGTTCGTTTGGTCTTGTCTGGAATTGTACACCTGTTGTCGTTTAGTGTCATTAGTGTCCTATAAGTTCTCGTTGTGTTTGTCAGGTGTTGTGTGTGATTGTTTCCTATGTCGTGTTGGTGCGCTACCCTTTCGGTGCGCTATTTGTAGCTTGCCTCCTTTGTATTTGGGAGAGGATTTTCGCACATGTTTAGTGCGCCCTTCTGTTTACGCCTGTGTGCGCATTTTTCTCGCCTCCGGGCTGTTGGATTGTGTTTTTGTGTGTGCTCTACTAAAAGTCTTTGTTGGACTTATCTTCTGCGTCCTGCGCCTGATTCCACACCACACCCACCTACAGCACCTACTGACAGAATCACACACCATCTGAATGGAATCAGCAGGAGCCGCAGCAGCACAGGAGACGTTGGAGGATCGGGTTCGGGAGCAGAATGACCAGATCCTGCGGATCGGGACCGCCCTGCAGGATGTGATCAACACGCTCCAACGCTGGGAGACCCGAGGAACACCCCCAACGCCACCGTCCCTACCATCACCATCAGCAAGTCAGCCCATTCCCGCTCCGGAACCCAGAGGAGTTCGACTCTCGCTCCCGAGGGCCTACGATGGGACCGCTGCCGGGTGTCAGGGCTTCCTTCTCCAGGTGGAGCTTTACCTGGCCACCGTGCACCCGGCGCCCTCGGGACACGAGAGCGTGTCCGCCCTTATCTCCTGCCTTTCCGGCAAGGCGTTAGAATGGGCCAACGCCGAGTGGAGGAGGATAGACGCTACCACCATCACTTACGCTGAGTTCTCCCGCCGCTTCAGGGCGGTGTTTGACCATCCACCAGAGGGGAAAGCGGCGGGGGAGTGTCTGTTCTGCCTCCGGCAGGGGAAGAGGAGTGCCCAGGAGTTCGCGTTGGAATTCCGTACTCTAGCGGCGGATGCAGGGTGGAATGAGCGGGCCCTCATCGATCACTACCGCTGTAGTCTACGTGAGGACGTCCATCGGGAGCTGGCCTGTCGGGACACCAGCCTCTCTTTCGACCAGTTAGTCGACATGTCCATCAGGCTGGACACCCTGCTGGCTACCCGTGGACGTCCCGGGGGAGGTCCGTCCATTTCACCCTCCAGCGTCTCCGAGCCGAGCCCCATGGAGCTCGGGGGCGCTGGCGCTAGAGAGAGGAGGGGTCGGAGTACGAGGGGGTCCATCTCCTGCACCAACTGTGGTCGGGGAGGACACACCGCGGCTAGGTGCTGGGGATGGCCTCCTAGGGGAGAAGACGACAGGCCCCGCACTGGGGAGTCCTTCCAGGTGAGTAGGCGCCCCACTCACCCAGAGCTCTCTGTTGCGCACTTCTGTATACCTGTGCGTTTTCCACAGGTAGCACCTCATTCCCAGCATAAGGCGCTGGTAGATTCAGGCGCGGCTGGGAATTTTGTTGATAAGAAATTTTGTTTAGCCTTAGGGATTCCCCTTCTCCCTGTTGACGTCCCCTTCCCCGTTCATGCCCTAGATAGCCGTCCGTTGGGATCGGGCTTGATCAGGGAGGTCACGGCGCCACTTAGGATGTGTGCGCAGGGGGATCATCAGGAGATGATCCAGCTATTTCTGATTGACTCGCCTGCGTATCCGGTGGTGCTGGGCATGCCCTGGTTGAGTACCCATAACCCGTCTATTTCGTGGCAGGAGAGGGCTCTGATGGAGTGGTCTGCCCAGTGTGTGGGTCGATGTTTAGGCGTTTCCGTAGGGGCTACCTCGGTGGAGAGTCCAAACCAGGTGCCCGCATTGCACGTTCCCCCTGAGTATGGGGATTTGGCTATTGTGTTCAGTAAGTCGAGGGCGACGCAGTTGCCTCCCCATAGGCAGGGAGATTGTGCGATAGACCTCCAGGCAGGAGCTGCGCTCCCACGGAGCCATGTGTATCCTCTGTCTCAGGAGGAGAAGAGAGCTATGGAGACTTACATAGACGAATCTCTGAGACAAGGATACATACGGCCCTCCACTTCCCCTGCGTCCTCGAGTTTCTTTTTTGTGAAGAAAAAGGATGGTGGGTTACGCCCGTGCATTGATTACCGTGGTCTCAATCAGATCACGGTGAAGTACAGTTATCCACTCCCGCTGATTGCGACCATGACGGAGTCATTGCACGGGGCGCGTTTCTTCACTAAATTAGATCTCAGGAGCGCGTACAACTTGGTGCGCATTAGGGGGGGCGATGAATGGAAGACAGCCTTTAGTACTACCTCGGGCCATTACGAGTATCTTGTCATGTCATACGGGTTGATGAACGCTCCTTCAGTTTTCCAATCATTCGTGGATGAGATCTTCAGGGTCATGCAGGGGCAGGGGGTGGTCGTGTACATAGATGACATTCTCGTGTACTCGTCTACCCGAGTCGAGCATGTGGCACTGGTGCGCCGAGTGTTGCGGAGGCTGTTGGAGCACGACCTGTATGTCAAGGCAGAGAAGTGTCTGTTTTTCCAGGAGTCGGTCTCCTTTTTGGGTTATCAGTTGTCTGCGTCAGGGGTGAAGATGGAGGTAGACCGGGTGTCAGCCGTGCGTAATTGGCAAACGCCAACCACTGTGAAGGAGGTGCAGCAGTTTTTGGGGTTTGCGAATTACTACCGGAGGTTTATCCGGGGTTTTGGACAGCTGGCAGCTCCCATAACGTCTCTTTTGAAGGGGGGTCCGGTGCGTCTGCAGTGGTCAGCCGAGGCGGACAGGGCGTTTGGGAGGCTGAAGGACCTGTTTACCTCGGCTCCGGTGCTGGCGCATCCGGATCCCTCTTTACCATTTCAGGTAGAGGTGGACGCGTCAGAGGCCGGTATAGGAGCCATGCTTTCGCAACGGTCCGGCACGCCACTTAAACTCCGCCCCTGTGCTTTTTATTCCAAGAAGCTCAGTCCGGCGGAGCGAAACTATGACGTAGGGGACAGGGAGCTGTTAGCCGTGGTACAGACCCTAAAGGTGTGGAGGCACTGGCTTGAGGGGGCTCAACACCCTTTCCTCATTTTGACGGACCACCGTAACCTGGAGTACATCCGGGCAGCTAGGAGACTGAAACCTCGCCAGGCGCGGTGGAATATGTTTTTGACCCGGTTCATATTTAAGATCACATACATCCCTGGGTCACAGAACGGTAAGGCAGACGCGCTGTCTCGGCGGTATGACACGGAGGAGAGGTCCGTGGAGCCCACTCCCATACTGCCGGAGTCTTGTCTGGTGGCACCGGTAGTGTGGGAGGTCGATGCTGAACTCGAGCGGGCGCTGCGCACCGACCCTAGTCCACCTCAATGCCCGGAGGGTCGGAAGTACGTTCCGCTCGAGGTGCGGGATCGATTGATCTATTGGGCTCACACGTCACCCTTCTCTGGACATCCTGGTATCGGCCGGACAGTGCACTGCCTTAGTGCTAAGTACTGGTGGCCCACGTTGGCGAGGGATGTGAGGGTTTATGTATCCTCCTGCTCGGTGTGCGCCCAGTGTAAGGCGCCTAGACATCTGCCTAGGGGTAAGTTACTACCCCTGCCCGTTCCACAACGACCATGGTCTCACCTCTCGGTGGATTTCATCACTGACCTTCCTCCCTCACAGGGGAATACTACTATACTGGTCGTTGTGGACCGGTTCTCTAAGGCCTGTCGTTTGCTCCCTATGCCGGGCCTTCCTACGGCCCTACAGACCGCCGAAGCGCTATTCACCCATGTTTCCCGGCACTACGGGGTACCCGAGGATATTGTGTCTGATCGAGGTCCCCAATTTACCTCCAGAGTCTGGAGAGCCTTTATGGAGCGGTTGGGGGTCTCGGTGAGCCTCACCTCGGGTTACCATCCGGAGAGTAATGGGCAGGTGGAACGTGTGAACCAGGATGTGGGTAGGTTTCTTAGATCATACTGCCAGGACCGGCCGGAGGAGTGGGCACGGTACGTTCCCTGGGCAGAAATGGCCCAGAATTCCCTACGCCATTCCTCCACTAACCTAACCCCTTTCCAATGTGTGTTAGGTTACCAGCCGGTTCTGGCACCTTGGCAGCAGAGCCAGATCGAGGCTCCTGCGGTGGATGAGTGGGTGCCGCGCTCGGAGGAGACGTGGAACGCTGCACACGTCCACCTGCAGCGGGCCCTCCGTCGTCAAAAGGCGAGCGCCGATCTCCACCGCAGTGAGGGACCGGTGTACGCACCTGGTGATCGAGTCTGGCTCTCTACCAGAAACCTGCCCCTCCGCCTGCCCTGTCGGAAACTGGGTCAGCGGTTTGTGGGGCCATTTAAAGTCCTGAGAAGATTGAACGAGGTGTGTTACAGATTACAACTACCTGTTGAGTATAAAAGTATTAACCCCTCGTTCCATGTGTCTCTTCTCAGGCCGGTGGTAGCTGGCCCACTCCAAGAAAATGAGATCAGGGAGACTCCTCCGCCCCCATTGGACATCGAGGGGGCACCGGCGTACTCCGTGCGGTCCATCTCGGATTCGAGACGTCGGATGGGGGGTCTCCAATATCTGGTGGAGTGGGAGGGGTACGGCCCGGAGGAACGGTGCTGGGTGCCGAGGGGAGCCATTTTGGACCCGTCTCTCCTGACGGAATTCCATCGTAGTCACCCGACGCGCCCTGCTCCGCGTCCTCCTGGTCGTCCCCAAGGCCGGAGTCGGCGCACGTCTGGAGCCGCGCGTCAAGGGGGGGGGGTACTGTCACGGTTTCGGCCGAGGCTGCCTCTCTTCCTTTTTCGGGCAGGCTTCGGCGTTCGTCGTCTCCGGAATACTAGCTGCCACCGTTGTATGTTTCTATGTTCGTTTGGTCTTGTCTGGAATTGTACACCTGTTGTTGTTTAGTGTCATTAGTGGCCTATAAGTTCTCGTTGTGTTTGTCAGGTGTTGTGTGTGATTGTTTCCTATGTCGTGTTGGTGCGCTACCCTTTCGGTGCGCTATTTGTAGCTTGCCTCCTTTGTATTTGGGAGAGGATTTTCGCACATGTTTAGTGCGCCCTTCTGTTTACGCCTGTGTGCGCATTTTTCTCTCCTCCGGGCTGTTGGATTGTGTTTTTGTGTGTGCTCTACTAAAAGTCTTTGTTGGACTTATCTTCTGCGTCCTGCGCCTGATTCCACACCACACCCACCTACAGCACCTACTGACAGTAGTGTACGAAATGTGATATTTCAGTTGTTGTTGTTTTTTATAAATTTGCAACAATTTCTAAAAACCTTTTTTTGCTTTGTCATTATGGCGTATTGTGTCTAGATTGATGAGGGACAAAATCAATATAATCCATTTTAGAATAAGGCCGTAACGTATCAAAATGTGAAAGAAGTAAAGGGGTCTGAACACTTTCCGAATGCACTGTAACACCACAATGTCCACAAGACAGTCCAGATCGTCATAAAGACATTTGATTGCATAAAGGTCAAACAAAATGATCTAGCAAGCAGATAAAAAAGTAGATACAGATTGATCTAACTAGATAATGATCCGTGAAGAGTCAGTACCTCAATACAGAGACAGGGCAAAGGTGTAGAATACTGCAGAGTAGTATTCTTCAACACATCCTCCTTTCTGATCTGCGGAGAAGGAACAAGGGTCAACAAGGATCAGACCTGGGTTCAAATACTATTTGACATATTTTCAAATACTAGTCTGCCTGGAGTGCCAGATGGGTTTGTAGTTTTGGCACTATTATATTGGTTCCATTGTGCTAGGCAAGCTCAATCAAGCCCAGGTAAAGTACTTGAAATTATTTCAAATGGTATTTAAATCCAGGGTCTGATGAGTATAGCGCAACTGATTTATGATGCCTGTCTTATCATCATACCATCTGGCTGAGGCATTTCTACGACCTTACTCTTCCCTGTGTTACTATCAGAGTATGCACAAAGTATAGTGTTGACTATCACCGTTTTACAACACTTACTGGCAAGCAGTAGTTGTAAACGCACTTGTCACTGGGAGGGGTTATTATGCTAGGAAAGTGAAGGTGGGGAAGTGCATCAACATATTATTAGTGCCTAGCCACACTCCAAACTGAATATCAATCTGTTTCAATATGCTTTCATTTCACTGAGTGAAACAATAGTGAAATATACATTATGGAATCCAGGCTAACCAAGGTCCCACCATTTGAGAAGAAACGTTTACTCTATAAGGTCCCCATCTCCTGTAATCTTACCAGTGTGTTGGCCCCTGTGTCTCTACATGTGTAGGCTTTTCTGTGACACAGTCTCAGGTGATAGTCTTCATCCTCCAACATGTCTGAGACAGACACAGCCAGCTCCTTTCTGTCTGAGTCCACAGTGTACGCTAGCCTCCCAGCTGTCATAGGACACAGTCAGTCAGTAATCACACAGTCAAGGGAAATGGATGTACTGCCAATATCTTTAGGCTGATTTGTACACAAGGAAATATAGAATGAGTATGATGTTGTCTGGTTTGGCAAGGCAAAAATGAAGCCTTGTTGAACGCAGAAATAGTCTGTCATTGTAAACCATGCTAAGGGATATCTAGTGTGATTCAATGGTTGTGAACTATAGAACAATAGAGAAATAACATCTATCAAACTTACTGATACATTCTGGAATGTTACTCCGAAGATCTCTGCTGCCACATTCTGAAATATAGTTTAAAACCAAGTTGAGTTTTGTTCTCTGTAAAACAAACAGTGCATCGACAAAGTTTCCCCCTTACTATGTTAAGTGCTTTGAGTACCTCAGTTGGTAGAAAGGCTCTATATAAATCCAATCCATTATTATTATTCACCATTGATCACGGTCCTCATCCTCACCTGGGACATGGTAAGTGCTTGTCCAGGTGACTCCACAGTAGCCTGGATTGGTCTTTAGAGTGACGTGAACATCTTGACCTGGCCACACCTCAGAGCAGTCATTATGAACCTCCACCTTGAGAGAGAGAGAGAGAGAGAGAGAGAGAGAGAGAGAGAGAGAGAGAGAAAAAGAGAGAGAGAGAGAGAGAGAGATAGAGATAGAGAGATAGATTACAAGTGTTCTGAAGCCAGATCCATATTTGTGTTCTTGGGTGTGATGGGAGGTTGTTGCCACAAGCACACATACTGTACAGCAATGTTTTGCTTGACTAAGTGTATTGTTCCTGTTGTCCCTCCAGTCTCTATGTTGTAGGGTAGTGGTATGGGGTGTAGTTTGTAGTATGGTAGGGTGCATGGTGTGGTAGTGTAATACTGTACCTGCTGTCCCTCCAGTCTCTTTCTGGCTACTCTGGGGAAGCTGACGAGCCTACAGCTTGCCAACATCATCCCTGCGGTAACAGTGCATATGGAGACACCATGGATGTGCTCTGAGGAAAAGTAGCATTAAAAATCATGAGAATGCAAGCTATACAGGGTCAGTGCAAGTACCGTAATTACAGTGTGTGTGTGTCAGGGTTGGCCTCAATTCAAATAGAAGGAAGTCAGTTCAGGAAGTAAACAGAAATGACAATTCAATAATCGAAAAAAGGGCTATTTATTTCAAAACTTTTTAAATGTCCGAATTTTTTATTCACATCATTTCTTAAATTGACTGCCTACAATGTATATGTGTGAGCGTACGTGCGTGTCACATGCGTGTCACATGCGCTACAGGAAGCAGTGTGACCCTGAATCAAAGGGCCAGGTAAGATATTATTGCAGGGGTTTCCCCTCTCCGGCCCCCATCCCGCTCTCACCTGTACAGAACTGCTCTGAGGAGAACTGACTAGGGAAGTACATGCTGTGGCTCTGTTCTGTTCATAGTGTGAGAGATTTATTATTTTTATAATTGATGGGATGACTAACTTAGAAAGAATGCATTCTTGACTGGGCTAATGTAGGTTGTGTCACCTGGCAAGCTGTGATTGATGTGAAGAGCTGTTTTAGGGGGTAAAATGAGATAAGGATTTGTGTCTCCAAATACTAGACTACACTGGTTCTTTGTGATCTGTGAACCTTCCTTGGACGTAGGAATGGTGTCTAGGGGAGCTGGCTCTTCTCACTATGACAGGTTGTTATGATAAACGTATGCCTGGAAACAGGGATGCGCTAAGAGGCGGGGGACTAGCCTGTGCGTCAACGGATTGGCTGAGTAAGTCTAAACCACGCTCAAGTCTCTACTCTGATTGGCCAGCAGAGAGGTGGGAAACTCTCTCTGTAAGAGTATTTGAAGAACAATCTGAAACAATGGATTTAGTTCTCTGAAGTGCCCTGTGAGGTATTTCAAAGAGCCCGTATATACGAAACATCATATTTACCATTGAAGGTTTTTGCATTAATTAAAATAACTAGTATATCTTAGAAGTCGTGTTGACCTCTTTTGTTCCTAATGCCAGATTTGAATTGACGCAACTTTGACAATAGTGTTCTATCTGGTTTCAGTGGTATGCTGTTTTCACAACATAGTCTCCCTGTGAGCGCCCCAATCTTATAAATCAAAGAATTGCCAGGAAAACACCAAGTTTCCCTGTAAAGGGTAGCTTCAAATGACACCCTATTCCCCATATGGTGCACTGCTTCATGGGAAATAGGGTGTTATTTGAGAAGCAAACAGAGATTAAGGGTTCGAGTAAATCAGATTGACATCCGCATAATGTCATTTTGGCGTGTCAGGGGTGGAACTGCGTTAGAGCAGTCAAATCCACAAGCAAATAATTAAGTTACCTTTTCGTGGACACTGCCATTGGATGCAACAACACAAATCCCATGCCGCCGCGTTAGAAATGAATGCAGCACCGTTACAAGTTAAAACACTCAAATTAGATTGAAAGGCATAAATCCCCACATCCAAATTAAAAGAACGCTCAGATCGACACTACTCCTCGGCCAGAGCGTCCAGTGTGCGCTCTGAACACTCCGAGAGCAAACAACACACCCTATTCAGTGCCTTGCAAAAGTATTCATCCCCCTTGGCGTTGTTCCTATTTTGTTGCATTACAACCTGTAATTTAAATGGATTTTTATTTGGATTTCATGTAATGGACATACACAAAATAGTCCAAATTGGTGAAGTGAAATGAAAAAAGTTACTTGTTGAAAGAAATTCTAAAAAATACATTATGGAAAAGTGGTGCGTGCATATGTATTCACCCCCTTTGCTATGAAGCCACTAAATAAGATCTGGTGCAACCAATTACCTTCAGAAGTCACATAATTAGTTAAATAAAGTCCACCTGTGTGCAATCTAAGTGTCACATGATCAGTCACATCATTTCAGTATATATATACACACCTGTTCTGAAAGGCCCCAGAGTCTGCAACACCACTAAGCAAGGGGCACCACCAAGCAAGCGGCACCAAGAAGACCAAGGAGCTCTCCAAACAGGTCAGGGACAAAGTTGTGGAGAAGTACAGATCAGGGTTGTGTTATAAAAAAAATATCCGAAACTTTGACCATCCCACGAAGCACCATTAAATCCATTATTAAAAAAATTAAAAGAATATGGCACCACAACAAACCTGCGAAGAGAGGGCCACCCACCAAAACTCACGAACCAGGCAAGGAGGGCATTAATCAGAGAGACAATAAAGACACCAAAGATAACCCTGAAGGAGCTGCAAAGCTCCACAGCGGAGAATGGAGTATCTGTCCATAGGACCACTTTAAGCCGTACACTCCACAGAGTTGGGCTTTATGGAAGAGTGGCCAGAAAAAAGCCATTGCTTAAAGAAAACAATAAGCAAACACGTTTGGTGTTCGCCAAAAGGCATGTGGGAGACTCTCCAAACATATGGAAGAAGGTACTCTGGTCAGATGAGACAAATATTGAGCTTTTTGGCCATCAAGGAAAAAGCTATGTCTGGCGCAAACCTAACACCTCTCATCACCCTGAGAACACCATCTCCACAGTGAAGCATGGTGGTGGCAGCATCATGCTGTGGGGATGTTTTTCATCGGCAGGGACTGGGAAACTGGTCAGAATTGAAAGAATGATGGATGGTGCTAAATACAGTGAAATTCTTGAGGGAAACCTGTTTCAGTCTTCCAGAGATTTGAGACTGGACAATGACCTTAAGCATACTGCTAAAGCAACACTCGAGTGGTTTAAGGGGAAACATTTAAATGTCTTGGAATGGCCTAGTCAAAGCCCAGACCTCAATCCAATTGAGAATCTCTGGTATGACTTAAGGATAGCTGTACACCAGCGGAACCCATCCAACTTGAAGGAGCTGGAGCAGTTTTGCCTTGAAGAATGGGAAGAAATCCCAGTGACTAGATGTGCCAAGCTTATAGAGACATACGCCAAGAGACTTAGAACTGTAATTGCTGCAAAAGCTGGCTCTATAAAGTATTGACTTTGGGGGGGTGAATAGTTATGCTGCTTTTTTTTGTATTTTTTCTTGTTTGTTTCACAATAAAAAATATTTTGCATCTTCAAAGTGGTAGGCATGTTGTGTAAATCAAATGATACAACCCCCCAAAAAATCCATTTTAATTCCAGGTTTTAAGGCAACAAAATAGCAAAAATGCCAAGGGGGGTGAATACTTTCACAAGCCACTGTATCTGTGTCATTATCGCAAAATTAGCTTGCTAACAACCTGTTGTCATATTCGCGTGGCTGTCGTCATCAACCAGAAACCGGAAACAGGCTGTTGTCGGGAGACACCGACTCAACGCCGAAAACTTCGGAACTCAAGAACTCGGATACCTGTGTCAACACCTGCTACCAACTAGCCAGCTAGCTAGGTTGCAATGGAGCCCTCTTCGCCTTGAATAGCTAACAAACATTTCCACGCTGTAGAATCTGTGTTTATTACGGTCTTGTCCAGGACAATAATGACAATACGGAGTTCCAATGCGGCAATTGTTTGCTAGCGGAGGATTACAGGAATGAGGTGGCTATGCTTAGCAAACAAATCTCAATTTTGCACAAGGTTATGGGGAAAACACAAATTGGAACTTTCTCGTTCTCAACTCCTATGGCTGTACATCGCTCGGGCCTGATGGAAGTTTCCCCGCCTTGTCATCTGTCCCTATCCGAATGGCCTGTGCTACCTGGAACTTGCCTGTCAAGGAAATCGTCTTCATCTGCTTCTCCTGCTCCATCCTGTAGTGAAGAAGACGGGGAACAGCAAGTAGAAATCAACGCTGGTCCCATGTCACAAGTCGTGGAAACCGAAGGCAGCGGCATGCTGCTAAGCGGATGGGGGTGACTGCGAGAGGTTCGGAGCACATTGACATAAGGAATAGCTTCACTGTACTGGGGCCTGATCTATCTGTGCCTTCATCGCTGGGATTGCCTGTGTCTGCAACGACGGTGCTGACTCAAATTATGCTGACTCCAGCAGCGGCGTTATCGAGTTTGGGGTACGTTATCCTGCTTCTCGTGGGCCTGTGAAAGACTCAATGAATTGTGTGAGGGGTGGGAATGGGCGGATTTCACCATTCCCTTCTCCGGCCATTGTATTGGGCAGTTCAATGGTGAGAAATGTCTCAATCCCTGGAGCAAAAATGTTGTGCTGTCCAGGAGCACGAGTACAGGCCATCAATAAGCTGCTCCCAAACATTTTAAACCAGCATCAGGACATTGAGTATATCATAGTTCATATGGGATTCAATGATGTTATGAAGGGCAGCTCAGAATAGCTGAAGATGGATTTTAAAGAACTGATTGGCTCACTACTTACACCAATGAACGTGTCACGATCCCCCCTGGTACTGCTGCTCAATCCCGTTCACCAGCTCTTGAGGTCTACCTCACCGGCCTTCTAGGCATCACTGACCTGGTTCATTGCCACCAACCCGGACTGTCTTGTCTCATTACGCACACCTGGTTCCCATTCCCCCTGATTAGTATGTGTATATATGTGCCCTCTGTTCCCCATTGTCCTTGTCGATTATTGTCCCATGTCCGTTGGTCTCGTGAGTACTGTGTATTGTGCTTGTTATTACGGGTCTCGTCCCATGTATTTGTTTGGAGGTTTACGCCTCGCTCTTTTGTTTGGGTTACATCCCGGTGTTATATATATACATGTTTGTTTTGGGCTTCGTCCCCGTCGTTTTTTCATGACGTACCTTGTGTTGGGTGGGGTAATAAAAAAAAAGAATACGTATTCCTGCGCCTGTCTTCTAATCATTATACAACATGACAAAACAGCCCATAATTTCTGGCCCTCTGCCCTCCCTAAATCGTGGCATTGAATGGTTCAGCTGACTTTTAGCCCTCAATAACTGGTTATGAGACTATTGCAGCTCTGTAGATGTAACATTTATTGACAATTTTGATACCTTCTGGAAAAAAATCTTGTGTTATAAGGAGGATGGGATCCACCCAAATCATTTTGGTTCCTGGTTCCTTTCACAGCATTGTAAGAATGTGTTGAGACAGTGACTTATCAATTACCCAAGCCCAGCTCATTTAATCCCTAATATTGTGTCGCTGAGTTGTCATAATGCTTCAGCAAATGCACATTATCCCAGGGCCGTTGAATGACACAATGTAAGTAACCTAATTGATGTCCCTCTTACTGCCCTGAATTCTTCTGCTGATCCCACAGCTATTGTATGCAGTAATCATGTGCCTATGAACCAGAGTGATACTGTTAGCACTGAGGCGGTGTGTTCTAGTAGGAAGTCCACTGTGTGCAGCTCACCCTGCACTAACATAAATAACATGAGCATGTCTACCTCTGCTAAGCTTCCCAGTAAAGCAATAAAAACAATCAAGCATCCCAGAAAAGTGCTAAAAATAGCCCACATTAACATATGTAGCTGAAATCAATAATTTGCTAGTAACAGATGACATTCCTATTCTGACAATCTCTGAAACTCACTTAGATAATACATTTGATGTTACAGTGGTAGCAATACATGGTTATAAGATCTACAGAAAAGACAGAAATGCCAAAGGTGGAGGTGTGGCCGTTTCTATTTGGAACCACATTCCTGTAAAGCTTAGAGAGGATCTCATGTTAAACACTGTTGAAGTAATATGACAACAGGTTAATCTGCCTCACCTAAAGCCTATTCTGGTGGGAATCTGCTATAGACCACCAAGTGCTAACAGTCCGTATCTGGATATAACGTGTGAAATGTTTGATAATGTATGTGATATTAACAGAGAGGTATATTTTCTGGCCGATTTAAATATTGACTGGCTTTCATCAGGCTGCCCACTCAAGAGAAAGCTTCAAACTGTAAGCTGGTTCAGGTTATCAGTCAACCAGTCAACCTACCAATCAGGATGCTGCCTTGTAGGCTGTTTCATATGTAAGGCTCTTTGCAGACAGCCTTCAAGGCAGCATCCTGACTTATCAGCCTCTGAGGCAGCATCCAGACATCGGCCTCTGAGGCTGTTATTGAATCTGATCAGCCTGCAAGGAATAGAGCTCACCCCCTGGATCAGATAGAGTTGAAGTCGGAAGTTTACATACAACTTAGCCAAATGCATTTAAACTCTGTTTTTCACAATTCTTGACATTTAATCCTAGTAAAAATTCCCTGTTTTAGGTCAGTTAGGATCACCACTTTATTTTAAGAATATGAAATGTCAGAATAATAGTAGAAAGAAGGATTTATTTCAGCTTTTATTTCTTTCATCACATTCCCAGTGGGTCAGAAGTTTACATATACTCAATTAGTATTTGGTAGCATTGCCTTTAAATTGTTTAACTTGGGTCAAACGTTTCGGGTAGCCTTCCACAAGCTTCCCACAATAACTTGGGTGAATTTTGGCCAATTCCTCCTGACAGAGCTGGTGTAACTGAGTCAGGTTTGTAGGCCTCCTTGTTCGACACGCTTTTTCAGTTCTGCCCACAAATGTTCCATAGGATTGAGGTCAGGGCTTTGTGATGGCCACTCCAATACCTTGACTTTGTTGTCCTTAAGCCATTTTGCCACAACTTTGGAAATATGCTTGGGGTCATTGTCCATTTGGAAGACCCTTTTGCGACCAAGCTTTAACTTCCTGACTGATGTCTTGAGATTTTGCTTCAATATATCCACATAATTTTCCTTCCTCATGATGCCATCTATTTTGTGAAGTGCACCAGTCCCTCCTGCAGCAAAGCACCCCCACAGCATGATGCTGCCACCCCCGTGCTTCATGGTTGGGATGGTGTTCTTCAGCTTGCAACATAACGATGATCATTATGGCCAAACAGTTCTTTTTTTGTTTCATCAGACCAGAGGACATTTCTCCAAAAAATACAATCTTTGTCCCATGTGCAGTTGCAAACCGTAGTCTGGCTTTTTTATGGCGGTTTTGGAGCAGTGGCTTTTTCCTTGCTGAGCAGCCTTTCAGGTTATGTCGATATAGGACTTGTTTTACTGTGGATATAGATACTTTTGTACCTGTTTCCTCCAGCATCTTCACAAGGTCCTTTGCTGTTGTTCTGGGATTGATTTGCACTTTTCGCACCAAAGTACGTTCATCTCTAGGAGACAGAATGTGTCTCCTTCCTGAGCGGTATGACGGCTGCGTGGTCCCATGGTGTTTATACATGCGTACTATTGTTTGTACAGATGAACGTGGTACCTTCAGGCGTTTGGAAATTGCTCCCAAGGATGAACAAGACTTGTGGAGGTCTACGATTTTTTTTCTGAGGTCTTGGCTGATTTCTTTTGATTTTCCCATGATATCAAGCAAAGAGGCACTGAGTTTGAAGGCAGGCCTTGAAATACATCCACAAGTACACCTCCAATTGACTAAAATGATGTCAATTAGCCTATCAGAAGCTTCTAAAGCCATGACATCATTTTCTGGAATTTTCCAAGCTGTTTAAAGGCACAGTCAACTTAGTGTATGTAAACTGCTGACCCACTGGAATTGTGATACAGTGAATTAATTATAAGTGAAATAATCTGTCTGTAAACAATTGTTGGAAAATGACTTGTGTTATGCACAAAGTAGATGTCCTAACCGACTTGCCAAAACGATCGTTTGTTAACAAGAAATTTGTGGAAGGTTGAAAAACAAGTTTTAATGACTCCAACCTAAGTGTATGTAAACTTCCGACTTCAACTGTATGTATCTGCCTATATAGCACTTTGACAGCTAATCTGCCTGCAAGGAGCCTTACCTACCAAACAGCCTACAAAGCAGTATCCTGATTTATCAGCCTCTAAGGCCGAAATTGAATCTGATCAGACTGTCAGGAATTAAACTAGCTAGTTCACAAGACTAGCCAAGTTAGCTGTGTGGTTCTTTGCATGCAATGGCTCTGGTCTTTGGGGCAGCACGCAGCCTGGGAGACAGTGCTGGCTCAGGCATTGTTCCGGGCTTAAATGCCCTGCAATGCGATCAATTCAGCCACAGGGCTCCTTGATAAAGTGGTTATCGTGCATCTGAACAAATTAATGGATGATGCGTGGTACTTTTGATTATCTCATGATCTCAACAAAACAACTTTTGTTATGTGGTGAGATAAATAAGTCGTGATCTAGACATAACGAGGGACCAATTTTTTTTATTTGTATGTCCTCTCTGGACTTCCGTAGATCATTGTTGTTCACAAGGCAGAAAATATTTCAACATGAAATCTCAAAGTGGAGAGCCCAACCTACCACTGAGCTGAAGAGCAGTGTGAACTCGAAGGTGAAGAGAGCACTTCTGTTTCCCCTCACACCTCATCACTGTGGACAGACTGACGCTGTGGAAGACAACACTGGTGTTGAGGTCTGCTTGCTGGGTCCTGCACGGGACAAAGGAATCTGTTTGGGTAATAAATACATTGGAAATCTTACTCTCACATTAAAAATAGCAAGACTTTCAGGACAAATGTATACAAATATACAACAACCAGTAATATCAAATAGCCAGCAACTTTACTCATACTTCACTCAGTCATGTCAAGGCCCTGACTACTGCTTTATCAGATGATAATAGATATATTATCCATCCATCTTTCTTTCTCCCTCCCTGCCTGAGCTGTCATGCTCTTTCTTTCACTTGTGGAAGGTACAGTTGTGGTGAGGTGCTGATTAAGTTAGACGCTGATTAACCTGACTTTTGTTATGTATTATTGTGGACACACTCTGTCTCTGTTCACTCCAGCTAGAGGCGTCTACTTGGACTATGACTCTATTGTACTGTATGGGGGGTCCATGCTACAATAAACAAACCTGCAAAAGTTTTATCACTTGGACCACCCATACCACAAACATTGGAACTGGATCCTTTTATTGTAAATGTCAAGTATTTCAGACATCAATTTATATCTGATCAGAGGACCATCAGAGATTTACCATAGTGTCATTGTCAACACACTCAAGCACACACACAGAGAGTATAACAACATTGTTTGTAATGGGTATATTGTAATGCACTCACAGTGGGGTTTACTTTTGCATTGGAGGCCCTGCAGAGAGAAGATGAAAAACAATGTAAGCGGTTTATTTATGCATTTGATATACACTTTATACTACTTATACACATTATACACTTAACAGAGTACTCACAACCCCAGCTGTACAAACAAACAAGCCCAGTTGGCCACTATTCCAGTTAACAATTCTAGGGAGAGAGCACGTTTTTGTAACGTTACCCGTAATGTTCCACTAATGTTTGAGATATTAATGTTCTAGACACGTTTCATGGGAACATTGCAAAAACATTTACAGTGCATTCGGAAAGTATTCAGACCCCTTGACCTTTTCCACATTTTGTTACATTACAGACTTATTCTAAAATGGATTCCCATAATGACAAAGCGAAAACATGTTTTTAGAAAAAACACAAATACCTTATTTACATAAGTATTCAGACCCTTTGCTATGAGACTCGAAATTGAGCTCAGGTGCATCCTGTTTCCATTGATCATCCTTGAGATGTTTCTACAACTTGATTGGAGTCCACCTGTGGTAAATTCCATTGATTGGACATGGTTTGGAAAGGCACACACCTGTCTATATAAGGTCCCACAGTTGACAGTGCATGTCAGAGCAAAAACCAAGCCATGAGTTCGAAGGAATTGTCCATAGAGCTCCGAGACAGGATTGTGTCGAAGCACAGATCTGGGGAAGGGTACCAAAACATTTCTGCAACACAGTGGCCTCCATCATTCTTAAATGTAAGAAGTTTGGAACCACCAAGACTCTTTCTAGAGCTGGCCGCCCCGCCAAACTGAGCAATCGGGGGAGAAGGGCCTTGGTCAGGGAGGTGACCAAGAACCCAAATTTTTTTTGCAATGTTCTCATTTAACATGTCTAGAACATTAATATCTTAAGTTCTGATAACATGGTAATAACGTTCTGGGTAAGTTCTATTTGACATTAAGGGAATGTTCTCTTGGAAACATTCCTTGCACATCACAGGAACATTCCTATGAAAACGGTAGTTAATGACCTAATGAGACTCTTAAGGGAACGTTCTCTAAAGTTGTGGGAATGTTTGTTGTTAGCTGGGATTGTAGTAGTAGAGGTAATGGAGATAGCAAGGGTTGTCCTGTGTTTCTACCATGTGAAGACAACACACACCCCAGTGTTTGTTTTCCTGGCTTATTTACCGTGTGTCTCCTTATTTTCTACGGTGCGGTAAATGCATCCTTGCTTATCTTTCTTTCAGTGAAGGCACGTGCCCTTTTTAAAATTATGTTCGATATGTAAACGATTTATCTTACCAGTGTCCTCGTGTTGGATATCACAGAGAGAGTGACAGCCTCTGTACTGACAGAGGTACTAGGCTTGAGGAAATGCATCCACAGGGATTAACTCCCTAGTGCCGATGTCAGCGCCCCGTGGAAATCTAATTAGCATAATCAAAACATCCCCATCAAAATCGGTCAGTTTAAGCTAGAGATATGTTTTTTTTGCATGGGCTGCGTCTCAATCTTAAGCATCTGCCGATAGCCTGGTGTCATAGACTAGATGTAACATAGTAAATGGAAATCTTGGACACACAAATTAGTATGAAATATTACGTTTGGTATGGTTACATAAGACAGATGGTTACTTAAGGCAAAAACAAAAGCAGGATGGATGGATGGGTTTGCGTATAACGTGAACGTCTAGCAACGCAAAGGTTGCGAGTTCAAATCTCATCACAGATACCTTTAGCATTTTAGGTCATTAGCAACTTTGCAACTACTTACTACTTTTTAACTACATTGCAACTACTTAGCATATTAGCTAACCCTTCCCTTAACCCTTTAACCTTACTCCTAAACTTAACCCTATCTCTAACCCCTACCCCTCACCCCTAGCCTAGCTAATGTTAACCAACTAGCTAATTTTAGCCACCTAGCCACCTAGCTACGTTTTGCAAATTAGTAACATATAGGCCTTTTGCAAATTCGTAATGTATTGTATGTTTCGCAAATTCGTAACATATAATGCCAATTGTAATTCGTAACATGTAATACGAAAATGGGTGATGGACACTTGCAAATTAATACATACCATGTGAAATGTAACATATCATACTAAATGAGGTTGCTCAAATTTACGTACATAATAATACGAAATGCTCTGAGACCAGGTTGCCGCCGATGTTGCCCTTCAGCATCTGCGGTGAAAGTTGTCAGAGCTAAAGTGGTGTTTGTCAGACCATGAGACATGCCGAAAATCGGTCTTCTCACGTAAATGTCTGTAGCATCCGAATGGAAAGACCCCTCTATGGAAAGATGACTCTCACGAACACGATGGCGTTCTCCGTTTTGGTCTACAACACCCACAAGCATCACAGGACTCGTCTGGAGTCGGTACAGCCAATCTGCATACTTCTGTCTGTAGCGTCCGAACAGTTTGGGCTACACACTAATACGACCCCTCTATGGAAAGGTGAGTCTCTCACGAACACGTACATGTCGGTCGTTTCGCTTACAAGACTAGTCTGAAGGTATCTGTCCAAATTCAATGTTTAATTAAATAATTTTTGTACATCTTTTTTTATATCTTAAGGGGTCCAGAGGAGGCTGGTGGGAGGGGCTATAGGAGGATGGGCTCATTGTAATGGCTGGAATGGAATAAATGGAACGGAGTCAAATGTGGTTTCCATATGTTTGAAGTGTCTGATATTGTTCCATTTATTCCATTCCAGCCATTACAATAAGCCTGTCATCCTATAGCTCCTCCCATCATCCTCCTCTGATGCAAACATAGACAGAAAGTATCAAGGCTAACAGAGGAGTATATTACAAAGCAGGATCAATGAGTTAGCCAGATAACTTTGACAAGCAACCAGAAATAACTATTGATTTTATAGCTCATATTCTTGATGATGAATGTTGGGAAGCTCACTAGTTTGAGGTCACAAAATCAACAAAATCTGCTAGCGGTGCTAATACAGATGTAGGATCTTATTTTGAGCCAGTTTGCTACAGCAGGAAAATAGTCCTGCAGCAACAGGAAATGTAAATTATTGTATGGATTACAATTAATGGACATTTTTCGTAGGGATTGATACATTTTTCGTTTGGGGCAAATCAAGTCTGACATTTTAAAGTGGAAATTACAAACTTTAGAAGCCTTTTTAAATCTTGAATACACTACAAGTTTGCATTTCACGGAAAGTTCTCTGTAGCTCTTTTTTGAAAATATTGCATGTGATTTTTCAAAGTTAAATGATTTTATTATAATTTTACACACTTTATATCAGATTCTGGGATTAGTCATTAAAGTTCAGACTGAAGTATTTATTTCATAAAAATAAATTAGATTATATAAAAATAAAAAAACACCTGCGACCCTTTCAAAGCCTCCAGCGACCCAATTTGGGTCTCCAACCACCAGTTGAGAATCTTTCCATTGGGTGATATAGGGTCGTTCGTAACATTTACACTCTATCACAATATTGGAATTTCAAATGGTCAACACACCTAAGTGATAACTCTTCATGTCCTACACTCAGCCACTGTGTTTCACTGTATTAAAAGTTCAGTCAGAGTATAGTCAGAGCCACTGCCAAATGAAGCTACAAGCACCGTAGCTCAGCTGGTAGAGCACGGTGCTTGTAACGCCAAGGTAGTGGGTTCGATCCCTGGGACCACCCGTACACAAAAAAAAAATTATGCACGCATGACTGTAAGTCGCTTTGGATAAAAGCGTCTGCTAAATGGCATATATATATATATATATATAAACTCTGATGGTGTAACAACTCTACAGAGTCATTATTATCATTTACTTTGTTTGGTTGCCATGGTTCCTCAGAATATATGGGGAATATGATATCAACATTCTATTATATGCAAGAGAGTAAATATGATAGACCGATACTAAAACATATTGGTCATGATATGACAAACACTACTCTCACTTCTGACTATTGGTATCAGTAGAGTGTGCTCTGTTTGTAGTTCAGCTATAGTCATCACTATAGTCTAGTTTTAGACGTAATAGTAATAGTAATAATATTAGCAGTGGTATTCAAAGTGATAGGAGCTATGCTGCTCATAGACACTTGAGAAGTGTTTGAAACGGAAACAGTGTTTCCTCAGAAAGATACAGAAAGAGTGATTTCCTACCTTGGAGCATCTGGTTTTACATTCCTGGATCCTCTCCATTCCTTCCCCTTGGGCCAGAGAGAGCCCATAGAGAGACACCATCAATATAATAGTAGAAATCATCTTCACTCCCAGTCCTGTGACCTCACTATGGTTCTGAAGTCTGTTCAAAGTTTGGTTGGAAGATGTCTTCTTTCAAGTATGCTGGTTTGGTTTTGTACTCTAGCTGTGTGAGGCAGGTGGCTGATCTATAGCTAACCCTGTCTGTCACTGTGGCTGTTCCAGTAAGTGATGGTTGTAGTGTAGTAGATGGTTCACAGCCGAGAGAGAGAGACAGAAGCCCCACAGACGTAGGGTGATGATTGCAATTTAAATAGAGGGAAACCTAGAGCCTGCCCACAAGGATATCTCTCTCTCTCTCTCTCTCTCTCTCTCTCTCTCTCTCTCTCTCTCTCTCTCTCTCTCTCTCTCTCTCTCTGTCTCTCTCTCTCGCTCGCTCTCAGGTATTCCCCAGTCAAGTATAAACATCAACCACTTCATTGTTTGAAATCTGATTTCATAGAAACATTTCAAGACACTCTGGGCATTGCCCAGGCATATTGCCAAGAGCATAACACAATATCGTGCAATGTATCCTAACAAGGTGGGGCAGCTTTTTTATTTTATTTTTGAATTATTGCCTGGGTCATAGTATTTTTTGAATTATTGCATTATTATGGGTCATAGTATTAGTACTGTTATGTGTACTTAGTCAAAAATATGTTACAGTATTGCCATTGTAAGAAAATATACAGTAACAGTTGTTGTACAGAAACAAAAATAAATATTGTAATTTGTCCATGAAATGTAATGTTTATGCAGTGTCATTATGAACAGATAGGTGACATAATCTACATGTGAGGAATTTGTCATGTTTGTGAAGGAAGTGATCTGAGTGTGGAAACCCCACACAGTACACATACCTACAGTGCACTGTATCAATGTTGCTATGTGTCAGTTAAGCCAGAACTAAAATCTTGCGTCATTTGTACCATTTATATTTACGTATTCTGTCCACAAGAGATTATGTCTGCAGTGACATTTTGCAATTTCACAACAAATGTTTGTATCATAGTGAAAAATGTGTTACATCCTGAGACATCTGTTTTTCCTGTAGGTTTAGTAGAGACCACATGTTATAGAAAAGAGAGCGAAAGGTTGTCACAGACATACAGTAATGGATGGTTGCTTTGTCCATGTACACAGGACTGTATTGGTTGCTGTGTGCAAATTGACAGGGAAGACCACTGAAAAACGGTGAAGTTCGTAAGGAGCAAACCAATTATCTTCCATTATTGAAATGCCACCATCAATCAGAACCTTATATAGAGATATATGGCTCTGGTTACCATGGCATTACACCTGAAGGTTCATCGCCATGGGTTCTCCTTTCAAGGCTTTGATGAGACAAACTGCCAAAGGAAACACAGACATGTTCCCCTATTTGTGTCAGACAGTGATTGCTGTTATACAAATGTTCTCATAACACATTGACAATCAAACCATTTAAAAAGGAACATTTCTCAATAAACAAAATGTTGATGTGTGCCTGTAGCCATGGTGAAAACTATACATGTTCTTTATTCAACCGTAAAGCCCCCATGGCAGCTGCTGACAGAAATGAAAACATCTCAAAGTACCTGCAGAAGACGACCCAGGCTGTACTCAAACATCTGTAGCATAGCTTTAGTGCAGCCATGCAGGAAAGAATGGAAGACACAGAAACAAAAAGAGAAAAAGAAAGAAGGGACCCTCTTTGAACTTCTGAAGGAAATCCCATGTTTCTGATGCTGGGAAAAGAGACAGATAAGATGTTGACATGTCCTCACAGGTATAGTTGTATGGGCTATCCCCATGTACCCAGACAACCTGAAGGCAGCAAAGGATAAGGGGAAATTCTACAGGAGTAATGTATTACAGGAAGTTACTGTTCTTCGCTAGCCTTAATAGCATGTAGTGATGTAATTAATAGCATGTAATGATGTTGGGAAGAGAGACAGATAAGAGGTTGACAGACAGGTCCTAGGTGTATGGTCTCGTATAACTTTGTTTCCATGACTGTGAATGGGAAAATTGCATGTGTGGGACCATTGAACCCATTATAATCTGAAGGCTGCAAGGGACAAGATGAATTCTTCAGGAGTAATGGATGTCTTACTGGAAGTAGCACATCTTGTCTATAGATTTAAGCATGTTTGGTTAGGGTGCTTTGCGCAATATCATCCCCCAGGGTAAACATAATGATTTGTAGTGATGTAAGTATTTCCTGAAAGCGAATATTTTGTAAACATATTGAAAAGTTAGTGACCCAAAGCACATTTTTCAGTCTAATCGCTCTGTGTAATGGCTCCATCTACTGGATATAACTGTGTATTACATTGTGTTTCTAGAAAGGTACAGTAAGAGGTACTGTATGTTGGTCAGTGTCGACCCTAGCTGTTTAGCAAGAAAGCCCCACCTGTTTTGCATGTTATTTTTGCATTAATAAGTGTCACATATCAGTTTGCAAACAATGTCAAAAAATATATATCATTGAGTTAATAACACAAACATGGTGTCTTTTTTGCTTTCTTGAGTAAGGCAGCTCCAAAATGCAGGTGTTTCAGCCTAGCTCAGTGCTTTCTGTGGTGATGGGTCAGCCAGCCAGAGTGTAGGGGTTGGTAATGTTCTCTACAGTCGTGGTCAAAGGTATTGAGAATGACACAAGCATTGGTCTTCACAAAGTTCGCTGCTTCAGTGTTATGAGATATTTTTGTCAGATGTTACTATGGTATACTGAAGTATAATTACAAGCATTCCATAAGTGTCAAAGGCTTTTATTGACAATTACATTAAGTTTATGCAAAGAGTCAATATCTGCAGTGTTGACCCTTCTTTTTCAAGACCTCTGCAATCCGCCCTGGCATGCTGTCAATTAACTTCTGGGCCACATCCTGACTGATGGCAGCCCATTCTTGCATAATCAATGCTTGGAGTTTGTCAGAATTTGTGGGTTTTTGTTTGTCCACCCACCTCTTGAGGATCAACCACAAGTTCTCAATGGGATTAAGGTCTGGGGAGTTTCCTGGCCATGGACCCAAAATGTCAATGTTTTGTTCCCTGAGCCACTTAGTTATCACTTTTGCCTTATGGCAAGGTGCTCCATCATGCTGGAAAAGGCATTGATCGTCACCAAACTGTTCTTGGATGGTTGGGAGAAGTTGCTCTCGTAGGATGTGTAGGTACCATTCTTTATTCATGACTGTCTTCTTAGGCAAAATTGTGAGTGAGCCCACTCCCTTGGCTGAGAAGCAGCCCCACACATGAATGGTCTCAGGATGCTTTACTGTTGGCATGACACAGGACTGATGGTAGCGCTCACCTTGTCTTTCCGGATGCCCCAAACAATCGAAAAGGGGATTCATCAGAGAAAATGACTTTACCCCAGTCCTCAGCAGTCCAATCCCTGTACCTTTTGCAGAATATCAGTCTGTCCCTGATGTTTTTCCTGGAGAGAAGTGGCTTCTTTGCTGCCCTTCTTGACACCAGGCCATCCTCCAAAAGTCTTTGCCTCACTGTGCGTGCAGATGCACTCACACCTGCCTGCTGCCATTCCTGAGCAAGCTCTGCACTGGTGGTGCCCCGATCCCGCAACTGAATCAACTTTAGGAGATGGTCCTGGCGCTTGCTGGACTTTCTTGGGTGCCCTGACGCCTTCTTCACAACAATTTAACCTCTCTCCTTGAAGTTCTTGATGATCCGATAAATGGTTGATTTAGGTGCAATCTTACTAGCAGCAATATCCTTGCCTGTGAAGTTCCTTGCATGTAACCATGGTTAACAGAGGAAGAACAATGATTTCAAGCACCACCCTCCTTTTAAAGCTTCCAGTCTGTTATTCTAACTCAATCAGCATGACAGAGTGATCTCCAGCCTTGTCCTCGTCAACACTCTCACCTGTGTTAACGAGAGAATCACTGACATGATGGCAGCTTGTCCTTTTGTGGCAGGGCTGAAATGCAATGGAAATGTTTTTGGGGGATTAAGTTCATTTTCATGGCAAAGAGGGACTTTGCAATGAATTGCAATTCATCTGATTACTCTACATGACATTCTGGAGTATATGCAGATTGCCATCATCAAAACCGAGGCAGCAGACTTCGTGAAAATTAGTATTTGTGTCATTCTCAAAACTTTTGACCACGACTGTAGTTGCGCCGTGATTGGCTCAGTGTTCTGTCACTCATGGGGACACTATGTCAAAGCAAAATCTCAAGGTCATTGGCTACAGATAAAATTACATCAAATTGCCTCCTGAGTGGCGCAGCGGTCTAAGACACTGCATCGCAGTGTTGCAGCCAGCTGCGACCGGGAGACCCATGAGGCGGCACACAATTGGCCCAGCGTCGTACGGGTTAGGGGAAGGTTTGGCCGGCTGGGATGTCCTTGTCCCATTGCGATCTAGCGACACCTTGTGGCGGCCAGGCGCATGCACGATGACTTCAGTCGCCAGCTGTACAGTGTTTCCTCTGACACATTGGTGCGTCTGGTTTCCAGGTTAAGCGAGCAGTGTGTGAAGAAGTAGTGCGGCTTGGCGGGGTTGTGTTTAGGAGGACGCATGGCTCTCGACCTTCACCTCTCCCGAGTCCATACGGGAGTTGCAGCGATGGGACAAGACTGTAACTACCAATTGGCTATCACGAAATTGGGGAGAAAAAGGGGTAAAAAGTACCTACAATTTTTTATTCAAATAGACAAAAATTAAATGACATCAAATCAAGTTATATCTACCGTAGCTTTGATTGGACTGATCATGTCAACATCACACTTTCAAAATCTTAACTAGCAAGCTTCCAGTCATCATCATGAATCAAGTCGACATTCTACTGGCAAATCCTTTTCAATCCTTGTCATATGAAGAGAAATTATAAAGAGAAATTATAGATAAAACATATCGGTGCTCATTGGCCATTGGACATAAACATTACACAACAAGTTGGACTCCTGAACAGCTAATCATGGCTACCCGGACTATTTGCACTGGATACAGACCAGTATCCCTTCTTTCTTTTCTCTCCAAAACT